AATTGAATTTAAAATCCTTACAAACAATTAAATTCTTACAATGATTTTTTCAAAAGGTCTTATCACTATAGAAATATTTGTCCATTTTCATAAAATGTTGAATTTTTAAATATATAATTCTACTATGAATATCTAACTGCCATAATGGAATATTAACATTGAATAGAGGTTTTATAGGCTATGTTATAATAATTTGATAAATAAGATCACAAATATTGAAGAACTTGGTTGATTGAGAATCTCTAGTATTACGTGTTATAATAATTTAATTAATTATATTATATTGTATGAATCCACTTAATATATAAAGTGAAAATAAAGACTCAGAAGTAAAAGAAGACGAAGGGGTTTAGAATGAGTAGGAAGAGCCTAGGACATTCACTAATTTAAGTATTGAGGACAAGATCAAGTAAAAGAAGATCAATGATGATCATCTTGAGAGAAATAAAAAGAGATTAATTAGATAATTTACAATTCTATTCATTATCACCCTATTCATTATATTAGAAAGAATTCTATATTCAATTATCATAGGGGTTGAGAATGAGCTTTTGAGTGATTTCCAGAACCTATTCAACTTAAGAAAATCAAAATTGACTGAGTTTGATGAAATGGATTATTTTAATGATAATTTTTTATTTGATATGGCAGGGAGTGTACATAGAAATGGTATCTCTATTATGATATTCACAAATTACTTTATTACCTTATATGTTGGATTTGATGCATTGATCGCTGTTAAAATATTGTATACATCTTATTTGAGCGTGTTTTTGGTAGCATTCTTATAATTGATATATTCAGATCCGAGACCATTTTGGGTGGATGAGAAGGTATAGTCATTTATAAGAATAAGTTAGTGACTTCACTTTGTATACCAAGTTATGGAAATCCATCATCATTTGTTTGCCAATTGGCATTCACTTTGTTTTATACCGTATATTGTTACAAGACTAAGAATCATACAAGGTCATTTAAGACTTATGATGAGAAGATCGATAGAAAAGTAAAAATAGTTTAACTCTGCATATCACTCTTTATTTTTCTGTATTCTATATTGTTATTTTTAATGGCTTTATAATATTTGATAAATATGATATTAGGTTTGATTTATTGTTTTGTATTTTATGCATTTTATGTGACCTTTGAGAATTAGATCAACAATATAATAAAGCATTCCACCATAATGAACATAGTAATAATATTAAATTTAAGATTTTAGGATTCAAAGCGATATGTATTTTACATATCCTTCTTCCTGTTGATAACGGAAACGATAGCAGCCATGTTGATATCCAACGAGTATGAATTGGTCAACATAGAATGGGCCAATAATTTTATGAATTGTCTCTACATGACAGATATCAATGCAATGAAAATACCTGCGTAATTGTTGATGGGACCTCACTTTACATTCTAAAAAACGAGTGTGATCTTTGCTTTGATTGGCGCTTTGTTTGGAGTTTCACATTGCTTTAGACACATAAATTCACTGGAATGGTACAAGGGAGATAAGAGAAGAAGAGTTCTAAGAATAATAGTGGCTAACTTTTTTACGATCCCAGGGTGGATTTTTGCATTGAATGTGGAATCGATTGCTTTGAATAGTCGAATGTATGAATGGGGAGCCTCGTTCTTTTTGGTAATGTCATTGATTTGATAGTTTATAGATGGAGAGTGTGGCGTTTTTGTTGTTCTATTTCTTTATGTTCGCTATGATCCCATTGTATGTGTTCAAATATTTACATTTGAATGCTTCTAGTTCATCATCGTATGTGGTGGTTAAATTATCTGATGATGATTGATTTTGTTATTAATTATTATAATAAATATAATGGCTTAGTAGAAAGGGAAGAATAAAATAAATCATAGACAGCGGTAGGGAGATTGGATTTGTGGTAGCTGCAATAATATGAATTTTGCATTTAGAGACACTTGCAATAGATGCCATACGTTGAAGAATTATAAAGATAATGAAAATAAGGGATTCAAATCTGCTTTGTTTTTGACAGAGAGCAATGGTGATATTCCACCAATATCTGATAGATCTAATAAATCTTCTGGGGAGAAAAAAGATAATGGCAACAATAAGTTCTCATTTGATAAATTACCATCGATGGAACCAATCTTGAAATAGATCACAAAAGAAACATGTAAAAAACAATTAAATTAGAAGAACAAAAATATGATTTATTTGAGTTTGAATGGTAGTGCTAAAAATGCGAAAAGATTAATTAATACTATAAAATTCACTGTGCTGAATGCGGAGCTCAAAGGTACAGAAAATTAACAGTATGATTTTATAACCTAAATGGGGGTTTTTTTTGATAAAAATGCTTTAAATTCTCTTCTTTTTAATCTCAATTTTAGAAGGGGGTTAAACAAAGATAAAACAATATAATAAATAAATTATTTTTTACTTTATTAATAAAATCTAACTGTTAAGATAATGAAAGACATGTCCAAGAAGATCTTTGAAAAAGAGAATTAAGCTGAGGTCTCCAATAACCCTAGGCATTAGAATAAATCACTAACCCAATTGGTTTCACTATCCTTGATTGGTGGAAATAGAAGTAATATTAAATAAAATATCCATAAGAAAATGACTTGAAAGCTCTAGAACTTAAAAACAATTACACCTCTATTTCCTCTCATCCCCTCGTGTTCTGTAAACCAGAAACTAAACTAAAAACCCAAACCACTTCCTCTCCATAAAAATAATCCCCTGTAAAGCCCAAATAAGTGGAAACACAATCAAATGAGTTGTGTAAGTTGATCAACAACTATTCAGAACCCATTCTAGATTATTATTTGGAATTGAACGTATTTATTTATAGATTAAACAAATAGACTCTAACACCAAAGAATTGCTTATCCAATCACACAGTAAGTGCAAATCTGAGAGCAAAGATGATTGATTGGATGGTTGAAGTACTCACTTCATATAAGTGCAAAGATTAAACCTTCTTTTTAGCTGTCAAATTGATGGACTCCTATCTATCTAAAACAACTTAAAAGCATATCCCTCAAGATTTACATTTAGTTGGTGTGACTACTATGTTTATGGCTTGTAAATTCGAGGAAATCTATCCAGTGAAATTATAAATTGTACACGAGAAGATTGCACACAAGAAACTAACCAAGGATGAAATTAAAGACAAAGAAACCAATATTTTAAGCACTCTAGACTTTAATTTAGTTGGCATTACTGTACTAGATGTCATTACAATTGTACTCTCCATATTGAATATGAATCAATAGTTATATTAAATAACACTGTATCTTGCTAAATTAGTGAAATATGTATGATTTATTTTAGGCACTTTATGACTATGAATTTGTCAACAGTCACACTTATGCTCAAATTGCCTGTGCTGCTTTGATTGTGAGACTCTAAGATTGTAGAGCAAATTGATTAATCGCTTTCATCCGAGGTAGTAATACCATTGATAGTTTCAACTTTGAAAATGGACAACGCTGATGCCATGGAATCAGCCAATAAATTATTGAGTGTAGCCAAAGGATTTGAAAAGCAGTATCCGAATCTGGAAAATTTAAAGAAATTTAGTAAATTTCAAATGTCAGATATTTTAAAAACCTAACCTTGAATATATATGTATATATTACTTTTATATTAATATTATTTTTAAATGGTTAAATTGGCTTCCAATAGAAGTCCGATGGTGAAAGCCATCGATTCTACCTGGAGCATAATTCGGACTCTATATTTTGCGGTGATTCTCTTCCTTTTCACCTTAATTGGTATGAAGAAGGAATCAAATAAGTATACGAAGGAGGAATTAAATTATATTATTGATGATAGTAATGATTGCAGTTGATTATTTATAGAGATGCCTTTCAAGCGGAAACCTAAGGATGACGACGATGATGATGGTGGAAAGGAAGGAACTAAGCCAAAGATTGTCAGAGGGCTGGGAGGAGGAGCTGATTGCAAGAGCTGAGGCTGAGCTGCACTTTTAATAAAACAAAGGATTTTATAGTAGCACACACAAGAGCTACTAGTATGACGATTTTCTTAAGAACTCCAGACTAGTTGGAATTAAGGAATCTGAGCAATAAAAACCTTTGTTTTTAATATATATTTATTTAAACATACTATTCTTAATATGTGAGTATTATTTTGTGATTATGACACTCCTCTATTATTAAATGAAGAGCTCGCATTATGGACAAACTATTAACATAATGAAGCCATTTTATATTATCTGGTCAACAGTTTAAAATGTAGAATTCTAAGAAAATTGGAAAATTCGGAAATTTAAATTGGAGATTGAGATCGAAATGTGTAAATATCATCAAGTTCTGAGAAAAGGTTAAGGCAAAGGGTAAAATTAAGGGTAGGATGAGATTGGTTGAAAAGGGTAGGGACTGGTGGATACTGAATCGAATTCCTGCTTGATTTAAATTTAAGGCTTTGGGTCCAGAATCTATTTGAACACCATCTGTGAGGAGAGCAACAGATTTTGCAAGAGCTATTGTTGGACTAAACTGGCTTTTTTAATTTCTGAGGTGAGAGCCTGGGTGAGCTTCTGGTATTGGGATGATATGAGTTATTTTTATTCGTTAGCCAAATTTAGTTGATCCATCAGAGATGGCTGCTTGTCTACGTACATCTAGAATTTCGGAATTGAGTATTACTTAAGTATTATCAGATTGAATGCACAATGGTTGAACTTAGAGCGTGAGGGGATTCAAGACCGATACTTTGAGTATGCTCTGCACTTTGAGCTTCTTTTTTCTGGTTTCCTTTTTTCCTATACGGCCATCCTATTCATATGCTTTTTGAATCGTTCTCACTGTACAATACTTTAAATTGAGTTTGTTGGCTACCTAGAAATGAATAGTGAATAAACAATATATATAGTAGTATATATAGATGAATTATTTAGGGAAAATGGCGAATACCTCTTGGAGTGATAATTTTTCCCTTATTAGCAACTCTAAGACAATTTTGCGCTATTCCTTATCTATTTTTTGGTATTTCTTGGTCTGCTTTAGTATTTCTGAACATTCTTGTGATTTAACCATATTTATGAAGAATCTTTTGCTTTTATTTATATTTATAAAAATATTTTAAAAATCAAATCTGCTTTTAATTTAAAATAAGATTCAGCCTTGGTTATAATCAAAAACATTAAAATGTTTCAAATCACGATATTATACATATATGTAATAAATATAATGCATTTCTTCTATTTTAAATCTTAAGTCAATATTTATTAGTTATAATTTAGAAAATGATCAAACACAAATATAGTAATTCAATTTATTGAAGATAAATCTAACTTAGGTTTTATTTGCTTGTGTTCGCTAATACTCTTCTTCTATCTGTTAGCATTGTAGGTAATTTTTTATTTGTTGCAAATAATATTGAAATTATTTATGAATTGTCTACTATGATCGTAATTCTATTCAGTGATTTATTGAGAGATTGTCTTTGAGTTTAATCTGATTTATTCTTTTTTTAAAATTGAGCAAGTGTCAATAGTATTACTGAGATAACTTTCTTTGTCAAAGGGCAGTTTTTGTTTCCGAATAAAATCAACTAATTTTAGCGGTTATTTGCTAGAAATGGTTTGAGTCTATGTCTCATTAGTTTCTTGTATCTTCTTCTTAAGAAAAGTATTCTCTTCCATTAGATGCTTTTTTTACTCTTATAACGTTGCAATTTCCTTTTTTAATTGCTAGTAAATGAATTGAAGTTATACGTGTATTAGGTTCTGATTCACAGTATTTTAATGAAATTGCTCTAATTGCTGTTAGAGTTGTTCACAATAGAGTTTAATTTATTGTTCAGTCTAATGATGAGAATGATGAATTTACTCTAATATGTTTTCTGATTTCACTCTCATACTTTTAAACTTACTTCTCAAGTTCCTGATAATCTTGATTCTGTAAATTTTGGAGTATGGCACCTTTGATATACAGCAATTGGGCATCCAAGTCTTTTGAAAGAGTCTGAAGAGGGTCCTTCTAACTTATAAATGTGGTATATTACTCATACCAGTTCAAGTATGTCTTTTAATATATTTTAAGACATTTTAATTATTTAAGATATGAATAGACGACTTGTGCAAATGTTTAGCAAATAATTCGGCTAAGTACCAAAATTCTTTGCCTCGAATGAACAGCCAATTATTTTGAGAAATGAGAAGTCAGGCTATTATGTGAATCCAGAAGCTGTTGCTCGTCGAATGATAAAGGTGATTAGTTTGCACGACGACGTAAAGAATCCCTCTGCAATCACTTTGCAATCCACATGGACTGACATCGGTTTGTCAGACATGGCTTACGTAGAAGTACCCCAAAAATATAAAATATATAGGTTATGGTTGAGGTTGAGAGAGAGTTTGAAATAGAATTTCCAGACACTGATGTGGAGTGTTTCAGAACAGTCAATGATGCAGTAGAGTATGTGGCAAGGAGCTTCTTCGCTGTTTGATTTAAAAGCACATAAAATAAAATAAAACACAATGCTAATATTGTTAATAATTGGTGTGAGTGCTGTCAATGTCACGCTCTTCTCAGCTGATTCCGCACTCTACTCTCCCCAGTTTTGTCAGGTGCGCAATTCGAATCGGGAAGGCAAAGATTGGTTGGAAACAATCTTCGCATTGTCTGAGAAGGGACGAATTTACAAGAGTGTCGACAATGGATACAAGTGGAGTGACGAAACCCTTGTCCTCGAGAAGATGGGCATAAACGATTGGTTCTATGAGATCCAAGCATCCCCTGCCAACAAAGAGGTTGTCTATGTATTTGGCAAGAATGGCACTGGCATAAGATCTGAGGATTGCGGATCACATTACACGTGGTTCACATTCCCGAGCTCTTTATCTGATTTTAAGTTGAATTCGATGGATGACGAGTGGATGTTGGCCTTTTCCAATTGCGAACGCTGTCATCCACCCTTCAACAAAGAAGTTCACAAATCCAATGACGGAGGCAAGACTTGGCAATGGATCCTCAGTGCAGCCATGATGGCTTCTTGGGATAAACTCATTGACAGTGAGTTGATCCCAGATGAGCGAATTGTGGCATGTCATTTGGAATACAATCAAAGCAGAGTCACCTATTCAGACGATTATTACAATTCGTATAAAATCATACACAACAATGGAACTGGTTTCTTTTAGACTCAATTCCATATGTTCGTAATCTCCAAATTTCAATCTGCCTACAGATTACATGTGGCACCTGCCTTTTATGATTATGCTCAAATGATCAACATTTCCATCCCATTTGATTAGCAATACTCCTACACTCTCCTAGACACAGAGTCGGAATCCATCTTCCTGTCCATATCTCACAATCAAACCAACAAGAAACTCACCAACATCTATACTTCCGATTTCCAAGGATTCAAGTTCACCATCTCCCTGTTGAATAATGTGAGATCCTTGAATACAGGTTAGTGTGATTTCGAAAAGATCGAAAGTCTCAGAGGGGTCTACATAGCTAACATCTACGATCATGAGAAACTCAAAGTTGTCAAGGAATCTGATTTAGAGAAGTACAAAAAGACTGTCATCACCTTTGACAAGGGAGCCATTTGGCATACTCTCAAGGCTCCAGCCACTGATGTCAATGGACAATAGACCCATTGCAGTGGAGATTGCTCATTGCATCTCCAAGGTAGAAGTGTAAGCAAAATCTATAGAGAATCTAAGGCTGTTGGATTGATCATGGCATCAGGCAATATTGGATTGTATTTAGATGAAAAGAGCATTAACACCTACTTTTCAAGAGATGGAGGCTTGACTTGGTATGAAATTAGGAAAGGACATCATATCTATTCATTTGGGGATAGGGGTGGTATCATTGTTATGGCCAAAGCTAAGTCCTTAACTGAAGAATTGTTGTACTCATGGGATGAAGGTTAAACTTGGGATTCCATCAAGATTCCTAAGATGATTGTCACCTCTATCACCAGCAGGAGTTTGTACATCAACTTCATTGTCACAGGTATTGATGAGAAAAGAAAGGGAATCATTTTGAATGTGGATTTCACTGCCTTACATTAGCGTACTTGCAGTGGTATTTGGGATCCCTTAGATCCAGACAGCGATTATGAATTTTGGATACCTACAAATTATGAAAATGGTAAATGTCTTTTTGGATAAAAATATCGTTACACTCGTAGAAAGAGGGATGCCAAATGCTTCAATCAACAATAGCATGATAAATTACATTTCATTGATTCATGTGAATGCACAATAGAAGATTGGGAATGCGATTATGGATTTTATCATAAAATTGATGGGGGACCATGTGTACCCATAGCCTCTTTATTTGAAGAAGATGAATACATTGATATTTTGAAGCCTCCTGAGAATTGTACTGGCACTTACATGAAATCATAAGGATACAGGAAAATTGTGGGAGACTTTTGCACAGGAGGGTACTATTAATTTTATATATTATAAGCGTTGACTTGGATCCAATTGAAACACCATGTGAAGAAGGATTACAATAAAGTTTATCAAATCAAACTCAAATGCTACCACAGGTTTCTATTAAGGAAGAATAGAAACTCAATGAGAAGGTGAAAATCAGTGAGAATACCAAGGAAAATGTTGGAATTTAACAGAATAACTCTCTCTTTATTGGAATATTGATAGCTTTGATAGCATTCTTTGGGTTTGTGTTGTGGAAGAAAATGAAGGCGAAGGAGAAGTTAGAAGTGAAGAAAGATTATTATTCTAATTTTGAGAGAGGAGAACGCATTAGTTTGAGAGAAGATGATGATGATGGCATATGATTATTGTGTGGTGTATTTAATTTTCATAGGTATAAATGAATTATCATAATATAATATTAAAGTAATCGACATTTTAATTTGATTCTTGAAATGTACAATTTAGTTTAATAGTTGAGTGTTGATTAAATTCCTCCAAAAAAAAGTATATTAATATAATAAAATGTAAAATTAGAGCATAAATTGGATTTGATAAAAATGATAATCAAAATTTGGTTATTTCAAGTCTGGTAGAATTATTGGAAAAAGCGAATGACTTTTTGTTATCAGATCGCTGTGAGTAGGTATCTAAATTTTTGGGTGATGGCAGTCTTGTTACTGACTTAGGTAACACATTTGCAAAGGTGTTTAGTTTCTTTGAATTTAATTCATCCCTTTATTCGAGATTGGAAACCATCAGATCCGTTAATTGTTTTTACGCTTTCTAATATTCTTTATCTTGTCTTAAGACTGGATCAATTCTTTCAAAGATGGTGTTGTTATAGGAATTCAAAATCTAAGAATTTCGTTTAATGAATTTAGGAGACAGGCCAGCTTCGTCAGTCTATAAATTCAATAATTTCTTTGGAATTTAGAATTACTATTAGACCCTCTGATGTCTCAATTTCATCTAATACTTTTGCTGATTTAATTGCAACTTCTTCAAATCCTTATTCTCCTTCATAATCAATTGAGCCTGATCCTTCTGTGTATTATGATAATCAATTTTCTGAAGTTCCAAGTATTCTTATAATTTGCTGTATTGTTCCTACAATTTCTCCAGTTGGATATCTGAGACTGAGATTGATTTCATCAGACTCTTTGTAACAGGCATTTCTTTATGGACTTCCCACTCAGCAGCAATGATTTTCTTTGCCGTTTCCTTAACCTAATCTAGAGTTAAACACTTTTCAAAGGTAATTGATTCGATCTTCTGATTAAAAACCTAGTCAATAGATTTAATTTGATTGGGATGTTCAAGTTTGTGTAAAGTCTCTTCCAAACCTCTGAGATGTTTCTGGAGATCGGTCTCCACATTCATTTAATCTAATTTGTAATCGGATAGACTCCTTAAGTAAATGAGTTTGCTTAAGTAACTCTGGTTTTCTTGATGTCTCCTTCTTTTTTGCTTATGTAGTGGTTTATTGATGAATCTCTGAGTGTTGTCCTTACTGCATGATGGAGTATTGGGCATAAACAAACTTCCATCTCTGGTAGCTTCTTTCGAGAGTTCCTTAGCTATTGGTTTGAAATCACTCCTGGCCCTGGTGTGATGGAGTATATAGACATGCTTATTGTTGATATCGTATTTGGTTTAGTGAGGGAATTGTTGTTTTTGTTCTTGATTCTGTTTCTTCTCAAATCCATACAAGAATGAAACAAATTAATTGAGATCCTATTACTCAAGAATGATTTGCTCATATTTTTCATGTTTGTATTCGTATTCGTATTTAATGTAATTGATTAGTTCCTCTTGTCTTCCTACAAAGGTCAAGATGTGTTGACATACATAATTGGCCATGGATATCATTAATGCAGATTCATCATACTTGTCTTTGTATTCCAATGACTTGCTTTGCAAATCCAAGTTGATAATAAACAATTGGGCATAGTGTTTCATGAGTCGTTTGCATTTCTTCTAGTCAGATTTGGGACGATAGTACTCACGCAACTAGTCCATTAGCATGTTGGAGAGGGGATCAAAGAATTGAATTTGAAAGACATAAGAGTTCTCAAAATGAGCGGAGTGGAGAAGAGTGAGGGCTTCATGATAAATGGTAACTGATCTTTGAGTTTTCACAAATTTCAATTATACTAGTTTGTGTAAGAAACGAGTGGCTTCTTTGAGATTGGTCATCTTGAAGTACAAATAGTTGAACATGAGGATCTATTGGATGGAAACAAAGAGTTCTTATTCATGATATCTCAACCACACAAGAGACTTCTTATCCCAAGGCTCATGTTCGAATTATATTAAGAATTGTTTAAGTTTGGAATTGCCTCTTGGTGATTGCATATCACCTAATTATTTGAATTTATTCTTGCGATTCGAAGGATTTTCTCTCTCAGTAAGAACATCCTAACATTTGGCAATATAATTCTGCATGGTATGACAGAGTTGCATACACTGATCTAATTGAGCGAGGATCCGACCCTGCTTCGAATTGAACTTGAGAAAATGCTTACGCATAACTTTCAATCGACAATACAACAATCGACGTATCAATTACATTTGGAGTTGGATTCCAGGCAGTTCACTCTATTAATAATGATGAGTGAGGTGTTTCTCAGAGATGTTTACAAAGCATTTGTACTTCCCCTTACGTAGCATCCATTGCGTTTCATAAATGTGAAATTCCAAAACTTGCATAGATTATAATGAAAAATAATTATTATTAATAATTCTTTATGCTTAATATTTGTACTAATTACAGTATTGAAATTTAACTTAACAAAATAGGTATTAAATCATCATACTGTTTTCACTTGCTCCTATTCCTCATCCACTGTGACATTCTTTATCTTTTCTGATTTGAATTGCAACGACTGCTTTCTCCTCTATATAACCTTTCTTATCCCCAAAAACAACAGCAACAGAACCAAACCAGTCACTGCTGCCATCAAAATCATAATAACATAATCATTATTTGCTTGTAGATCTTTCTTAATAGGTGCCTTTATTTGTGTTCTATTGTAAATCAAACTAGTGTTGTAGAAATAAGTGTAAGGAGCGTCATATTCCTAATAGAATGCTTGGAACACAATCAAACCATAAAGCACGGTCTCATCCTAAGGGAGTGGTACTAAAATGAATGTTATTTCACAATGATACTTTAAAATGACACTATTTCATCCTCCTCCTTAATTGTTTACAGGGATTTGCTGTGGAACAATTCGCTGCTTGTGTAGTGTTTTAGAGATTCAACGTCCATCTGACATCCAAAGGCATTCATAAAGGGTTCCTGATTTGAATAATGCAATTGATAACTACATTACAATTAATTACTTACATGAGCATTCTGAGTTAGGAGATGCCAGTCTTATTTCTTTTCATGGTGTCCACAGTGACTGTCAATGTCTGATCCTCAGTATTCTCTTCTGCTTGATAAGTTATTGCTTTGCTGTAGTACCAAGCATCATGCGAGTATTTAAGATGTGGTATCAAACTATAGATGTTCCTCCTTATAGATATTCCATTCTTGTTATAACTGACAAATGAAGTGGGAGTTACATTGAAATAGATATCACTTGAATTCCTAAATTGATAGGAAGTCAAATTGCTTTCAGTTTTGCCTAAACAATCAATCTTTTCAACCAGCAATTCTTGACCCCTCGCTCCATATATGTTGTAAATTTAAGCAGATTGTATTTATTCAATGTAGTGCTGATTCTGATCTATGTATTTTAAACCCTCCAAATTGAGAGTGATACTGTATTGACCCTAACATCGCAAGGTAATCTTATAATAGTAATCCACACTGGGTAATATGTATTTTAATTCCAACTGCGATTTACTAACACTCCATTCTTGAATGGGATTAATCAAAATGAATTCAGTTACATTCTTGGATAAGTAAAAGAGTTCCACCCCTACATTAGATTTGGAATTCACAATTATAGTATACTCCTACTCTACCGTAATTGGAGTGAATGTAAATTGAGTAACATTCTATGCAACTGAGTTATTAGCCTTGTAGGATTTTCCAAGATGCAAATTAATAAATTTCTATTAGCTCTACAAACTCAACCAATACGAGGCAATTGAATTGACATTAGGATTGACAATGCTCACTGTGTATGATGCATTTATTGGAATGGCGTGTTAAGAATTACTCAGATTCATAGCAAACTTTAAGGTCTCATTTTCATAAAAGTACAACTCAATGTTTTAGGAATATACATAGATATTCAGATCTCCATGCTCAACTTGATATTTACAAGTCTCAACACATTGATCATAGTATATCCTTCCATGCTCAATCTCCAATGCTATTGAATTGTAAGCAATCAATAATTAGATTTCAGTACTCCTCAATGGCTTCAAGGCAATGATGTAAGTGCAGTAATAGCAAAAGTGTTTATTTGTTTGATTGATCTGGATGACCCCTCCAAAGAGATTATCATTGTGCTCCTACAGTATTTTGATGTCATCTGTTCCCTAGTATGGTAGGAGATCAAAAAGACCATCATCACTGTCATTGTATTGGGAGTATGTATTGATGGCTACATCGACGCTATTCATTCTTTGAATCAATATGCGGAAGGATTCCTTTTTGATGTGTTGGTAGAAGTAATAAACAGTGTGATTTATTTGATGAGTTGCGAGTTGACCATTTGATATGTAGTACATTTCAATGTCTGCGAAATTCAACAGCAACTCATAGGTGCATTCCTTTCTAAATCCAGATACTCCAATTATGTAGGACCCAACATTGTCAGTCTCTCTGATTATCAGAATGTCTGATTTATACGACATAGATTTATAAGTATTGGAATCTTCAGTTGGATATGAAATGGTATCATTGATTAGTTTATTCACATAGAGATCTGGATCACAATCATCAACTGGTCTGGCTGTAATTTGAATGAATTAAACAGGGGTGTCAACATAGAAATAGTAATAGGACATCATATTCTCTCCAGCATACCCAATCAACATTTCCCCATTCTTGATTATCGAATATTGCGTAGATATCATTATATTGAAATATCCATCCTCACCATTCACTGTGCTGATGTTGTTATATGAGTTGCCCTAGATGTATGAAAATAGCGATTGCTAATCTAATTTCACACTTATCAATAACACACAACCTTGTTTATAGGTCTAACAAACTTGTAACTACTCTTTGTAGATTACGAGTAACTTATTAGACACACTTGCACTGGCTTCTTCTTCTAGGCCATTGGTAGAGGAGTTGGGGAATATGGAGTGATTATTACTTCTTAAATCTTTGGAGACCACAGCATAGTCTTTTATAGCACAAAACAAGATGATTTCAGCGAATTGAGTATATGCTTATATTTGAATAGTGCTGTTGAGATTCTTGGGAACTAGGAAATATAAATTAGATGACTAGTATTATTCAAATGATGGGATGGGTACCTACTACACAGTGTTATCTTATATTTCTGTGATACCAGTCACTCCTCTAATCAGGAGGGAGTATTCATTGTACCCAACACTATTCACCCCAATATAAACAATAGTGTTCTCAGCAATATTCGATAAAGTCAAGTAGGTGGCAGAATTGGGAATTTCGTAATCGCAATTTTCTTGATTTGGGAATTTATTCTTCAAGCTGATGTAAACTTTGAGGTTGTTTTATTCATTGTTTTCAGTGAGAAATGTTCTGACAATGAAGAGCTTTTCCAAGGCGTATGGATTTTGATAGTAATAAAAGGATTAATGTGAATTGTCCAATTGAGTGATGAGTGGTTCTCCGTAGAATAATTCCATGAGGGAACTAGAGGAGGTGTATTGAATTTCATAGGATTCATTAAGACCAAGGGAAATGGAGTTGACTTAGATGTAATAATACTGTTTTGGATTATCAATGATCAGTGTATGTTGTGAACTTCTAAGTGCGAAATCATACTTATTAGAATCAGGGTTCCTGTCATCTATGACTCCATTGGAACCAATAACATAACATATGAAATAGCCATATATTCCATTGAGATGAATGAAGAGTGGACCGTTCTATCTGTATTCAAAGTTAAAGTAAGTAATTGAATCGATCTTAGTTTATAGATGAGAATAGGGGATGCTTTCAGTGAGTTGGATGTAATTGATCTCTTCATGTGATTTTCTATACACAATTGGAGTGATGGTATATCTGAGCAAAGCCTTGGCTATTATTCGAATGTAATACTCCCCAGATAAGTCGTTGGTTTCAGTTTCTGCCTTGTATTGCAAGACATCCAAATCCATATTGGCATTTCTATCGAAGAATGTGGAATTGGGTTTCTCGTAGAGCCTGGAGGCAAAAGCATCATATTCACCAGTGATAGCTGTTATTTGAAATACTACTTCGACTAAATCATCATCGTGGATTGTGAATGAATATAAATCTGTGCTATATTCCATAAGGAAACTGCGATGAGTTGTTGACTCTGTTAATTCAACGTGCTTCTCCTATCCCTTGATAAATATCTGGTAGTTCATGTATTCAACATTGCTGTAGACTCCAACCACATATTAACAATTAGTCAAGACGTTCTCGTATTTGAGCATTGTAACATTGCTCTAGCACTCAGTCTTATTATAATAGAATTGCATAGTATTCTCAGCTGAATGCAACTCTGAACTTCCTGATTTCAACACTTGTCCAATCTGGATTTGTTCTATTTGCTCTTTGGTAATTGAGCAATTATAATAATTATCAGGTCCTGCATTGATGATGTAAGCGAAATGGTTGGTCACTTGACTTAACTCAATTTTGTTCTTGCTGCATTTCTTTAAGATGATGATACCATGTCCTCTGGGATAGTTTGCAGTTATGGTAAATGTTTGATTGAGTTCATCATATGTATCAACTATGTATTCTGCAAGTTCATTCTTCCCCAAAAAGCCAGATTCAAAGGTATGAATTGACAACACTCGACTATAGTAATTACTCAAATAAGCCACAAAGGAAAAACTAGAAAAGTTGTTCACTCCATTAATGGCTATGATAAATTCCCTCTCATTTCCATTTTTAATCCTATTGCTTCTGGAGATTGTGATTGATTCATAACCTAGATCTAATTGCGATTGCCACAAATACTCTTTATAATCCAAAGAGCACTCGCCATTATGACAAGGTGTTATATAAACATCAGGATTGCCTTCAAAAGGATGGATGTCAAAAGACAATGAATTTCTATCTAAGAATTCGAAATATTCATCCTGAACTGAGAGTTTGTAGTAATTGGTTTTAGTTTCAATAACAAGGTCATCTATCCTCTCAAATAGACCGACACTTCGAATACGCTCATAAATTGTAGTTACAAAGTACATCCTAGTATTGGGTACACCTAATATCAAGACAGTCAAATTCCCCTTAAGATTGGTACTGTTTTTATATATCACCACTCCTTTTCCTATCATCCAAATCCCCTCTGCCTCATACTAGAATTACACAGGGGATGGTGTTTCATTTCCTTCATTGACGTAGAAATGAAAGGACTCCTTTAACACTGTGTTCCTGTCTTAAATGTAATGAGCTCGAATTAGAATTCTATCAATCCCATCCATTGAGCTTGGCATGCCAACCTTAAGGATACTTTCTGTTTCATTGGCGAATTTCACTATCACTGCCTCTCCCAACGCCAAGACTTCCTCCTCCTCATAATGGATGGTTAATTCGTAATCGCAATCCTACATACAATACACTCCCAAATAATAAGTTGTATTAGCAATTAGGTTCTCTTCCTCGATCACACAAACATCCATCCCATTATTGCCACATAACTCATCGTGGATAGTTGGACTAATTAAAACATTCACACATACTATTAATTCACCTTACTAATGTAAAGGGAAGGGAAAGAGCTTTGATCATGCAGAGCCTTAAGCACTACGAATATGTCCTCATTCGGTACTACGTTCTCCACTAGGAACTAATAGAAGTGGACTGCATAAAGTTCGGATGTCGACCCACCGGGCACTTTACTAATAGCCATTTATCAAACACCAATACCCGTAAAACTCATACTGTTTCTCAATTTCCAATTCGATTATTTCTTAATCATATTGTTATGACGGCATCAACGTCTGAAAGAGCAAGATCAATAATAACATAATAAAATAAATTAACAATTTAGATGTATTTTTATTAGATAGTTGTACATTTGAATTAACATAACCAAGACTGATTTGCTAAATCCACTCAATTTAAATTGTTTCAACATTCAATGCGAATTCTTGAAACTTTCATATATCTATACTTTGACATATAAATTGTATTCATATTGATATTCTAAATAAATCATTATTAATTCTATTGCACTTATTTCAAAAAATGCTCTAAATGCTTAGTTTGTTACTTCAAAAATTGCATCTCAGATTCCATTCTTTTCTCTTCCAATTCTCGGATCTCCTTAAAACTTCTCTATATGGCATCGAGTTCATTCTCCAATAAGATTTTTTAGTTTTCCAAATAGATCTTCTTTTTGTCATAATCAGCTATTTTTGAATCCTGCTCACTCTTGCCAATTTCAGATTCCGCTGCCTTCCTATTTCCAAATACAACTGATCCAGCATAGAGTGTTTGATATGCTGCAAAAGTTAACTTCAAATTATCATACACTCTCATCAAGAGGAGTCCTCTCTCTGGACAATTGATTGCACTCTGTCTAATGATCTCTTCAAATAATTAACTATGTAAGTCCTCTCTCACTGGACATATGCCACTCTTACTATAATATTTGCAATTAAATTCTACCGAGCCTATCTCTCGATCAGTCTCTAATCTAATTCTGCTTCCAATTGATTCAATTCATCTCTCTTGACATCATTGACACTGACCACCTATTTGAAGAAGTGTGCTTCATGTTCAAATCGTCTGGGAGGGAAGAATTTATTCAAAATTTCATCAATGGACCATTTTTGATCCAAAGGTTACAGTTATTATTTTTTTTTTTAATTTAACACTTGCTCTTGCATTTCAAGTTGCATCTCATCTTCGTTTATTTCAATTGGCTCCTCGTATCTCACCAAGGTTGGCATATATTTGGGGTATTTCTTTAAGGTTTCTTCTATTTATGACATTTTTGATTAATATTTAGTAATAATAATAATATATATATTATTTTTTAAAAACATAACAAAAAGTAATTATAATAGCCAAAATCACAACAATCCCAACTCATTCAATATTTAGCTCATTATTAGTATGATTTTGGATTATTCAGCATTATTCACACTTGAAATCAGGCAGACTAGGAATGCATAATCATCATCGCTATAGATCCTGTTGGAAACGATCAAGTCAGTTATTTTATTCTTAAAAAGTGGATCAGCTAATTAGGGTATTTTTTTAGCAATGCTTTCCCAATCAATCTCTTGTTGTATTTCTTTCTTTTGTGGCCGTGGCTGCACTTATTAAATTGAAGTTGATTACTTTATTGGACAAGTCTTATTGATAAGACTCTTATCCACTCTCCTGAAGAAGAGGGCTGGATTGAGAGTGGTCTTGTTCTTGTTGTTCATTTCTTGGATCCTCTTCTTACATTTTTCAAAATTCTTTTGATGTTCGGTATTGGTGGTTTGCACTTTTTTGAGGAAGTAGTTGTTTTTGAATTTCTCAACGGACGGTCTTTTTTATTGGATCTTTTGCACCTTGTCAAAGGTATTAAGGACTTCCTTGTATTGATCCAGGAATTTGAAAACTGGAGATGGAGTTCGACGTAGTAGTTTACTGCTTGAGTTGGTTTGGGAGAGAGTGCTCTTGGCAGTCTCAACATGATGCAGATGCTGGAGCATCTATTGCAATATAATTCGCCGACCTCCTAGATTGCGTTAATCTGGAGAGAACACCTTGCTCATTAACGATTTTTATTAATTAACAAGATGATTATAATTATGCCAGCCTATAAAAGCAACTTGGAAGTGCAGATCAAGCAAGATCAGAAGTAGGGGATGGGTCTGATTGATCATGAGCAGACTGACACGTTCCCAGTGTGGAAATTTAAAGGAGGTTCAACCACGATATATGAAGAGAGTAATAATGAAATGCATTTTGCAGATCAAGTCTACACCGAGAGTGCTGAGATGTTGCCCAATAAGAATCAGCTCCTTAAAGTGAGCAAATCAAGTAAGACTTATCGATAATTCAACTTTATTAGAAAATCAATACGAAATCCTGTTGTCTGTAATGCAGCCACCCTTCATGGTGGTCAAGGACATCAAATCATCCAATGGGCCAGAATATCCCCTTGTAGTTAATTCTATCATTCGTCTGGGAAGAGTGTATTTATTATACTCTATTAATTTAAAGTGAGTACAAGGTCATTGAAGAACGCAATAAACACTTGCAGACCTTCAAAGCTCCCTGCTCCATCAAGGTATGCTAATTAGGCAATCAAATTTTAGAGCTCCTTCCTCAGCGACTCCAATGTGACATATCAATGTAAGTTTTGTTTCATGGAAGGAAGGCAGAGCAAGGACCAACTCTTTCTTACTAATATCTGTCGTTGTGCTGGCAACGGATAGGCTGTTCATCTGGAGTGTTTGCGTTATTGGGTAGATTCAAATATCAACAAAGAAGTAACTCAATTTGGTTTGACTCTTAAATGGTTATTTAATTCTCCATATTAGGAACAAACAACACGAATGTTCCATCTGTAAAGAAGGTCTCCCAATACGAGTTCAGTATGAGGATGAATTCTACGATCTTTTTACACTTGAACGCCCTGATTTGCAATACATCCTTGTTGAAGTACTCTCCCCCTCACTATTCATTAGAACATCAATAAGGACAAGAATTTATGCAATGAAGTCTATTTAATCCACAGTCTCCTCATGGACAACATCAAAATCGTAATTCAACTATTCCATATTCAAGGGAAGAGGATTCCAAAGCGACATCAAAGCACAGGACATCACAGTTTCTAGACACCATGCCACCATTAAATTGACTGATGGTAATTTCGTAATCTAGGACAACAAAAGTAAATTTGGGACTCTTGTATCCATAGACAAGAAAGTTTCTATTGATTGTGCTGCTTGTAGTTTGTAGATTGGCAAAATACTAATCAATCTTATTTAAGCTGATTAAATTTAAAAAGGTAAGGTTCAATTAATGTAGGTGCTCCTTCAACCTAACACAAACTTACTCAACTACCTTAAATAAATAAATAATTAGATGAAGATGAACCACAAATGGATGATGATTCTTTTCAATTAGAAAATAAATGAAAGTGACTTTTATATTATTTTAATTATATTTTTATCTTCCCCCCCAGTTAATATATTATTTATCTATAATTTATGCAAAAAGCTAGCATTTTCAATAGGAATTTCAGGCTCCTCTTTAATGAAAACAAGTACTAAAATCTGACAGGTAAATTGTGAATGCATGATTGTAGCCCAAAAGGGTCATACTCAAACTCATCTTGGATGGGTGTCTCCAGTAGATTACAGATTTGGAAGAACTATGTTTTATATCACTTGCGCCATTGGATTCTTTTGTGCCTACATGGACCCAGGAGTCTTACATGAAACAGTATGAATCACATTTAATTTTAGTTTGGCCATTTCAAATAACCACCCAGATATGTGTTGGTAAGATTTGCGAATTAATTACATAGGGATTTGGAAAAGGACTTGAAGGAGAAGAGAAGAAGTTGAATGAATAAATATTAGACAGACATCATGCAGAAGAATAACTAGAGCATTTCAAACACAACATCACCTAATACGATGGTAAATGATTTAATACAAACATATAAAAATATACATGAATATTTAAATAAAATACAAAAAAAAGGATAACAAATACAAAATCATTCACTGCTCCAAGAGTTACTACAATACTTCTCGAATAGGCTTTGATCTCTTCCTTATCGCCTTCACAAGTGCAATTGCATCTTCCAGAGAATAGTTTAAATCCAATACTAAATAGAGAATGACTGTTTAAATGCTCCTCTGAATGCCATCAGTGCAATGAACATAGACGCACTTACCCTCCTGCATCAGTTTCTTCAAGATCTGATGAGCTTGCATTCCTTTCTTCAAGAAGGATCGCTTATTGCAATCTTGTATAGGACAATGCAAGTACGTAATCTGATAAGATTCACAAGATTTTCGTATGTGATCAAAGTAATCCTCTTGCAAATCCTTGTTTATCAGATCTTCAGTGGTTTATAAATTAACTATGGCTTCAACTCCCAAATTCTAAAGAACGTGAAGTTCACTAAAAGCTTATGTTGAAATGTTACTCAGTGTAGAGGAATGAGCCCACATAGATGTTCTCCAATAGTTGATTATAGCTGAGTGCAAAATCAACGTCGGAATCCGTGATTTCGATAACATTGTTAAGGATGGGATGTTGAGTGAATAGTCTGACTGCATTTCGTTCCCAGATGTGATTTTATTGGTATTTATAAGCATAGGAATGAATGGACTTACTTGGGATTTCCAATTCCATCCTATACTCAAATTCATTCTCATTCAGTAACGAATTAGTCGAGTCTAATTTTAGATTCTTCCCTTTTCTGAATATAAATTTACAAACATCTTGGAATCATGAAATGAGTTCACTTTCATTCTTATTTTGATATGGTTCCATGCATCCTCCACATCATTTTGGGAATTCAATACTCTGCTTATTCCATCTTCCCATTCTACTATCTGTCGATTGCTTTATTTCACTATCACGTATCTGTAATTCATTGGTAAACAACAACACTCTACTCTGGCTCTCCAAACATCTCCAGGATTCCATTCCATCTAAATTCCATTTTACACATTCCATTACACTAAATGACAATCGCCAACAATTAGAATGACTTCCCCGTAATTCACGTGTCTTTAAATGGAAATAGAGCTCATTTTGTTTAAATATATATTTATCAATTACTTTTATTAAATAAATCTAACCTAAATATTGTTTTCAAATATATCATTAATTTCAAAATTATTAATAATAACTCATACTTCTTATTACACATTATGAATATTCTAATAGCATTCTTCTACCGTATTATTTAATAACCAGGCATCCTGATTAAAATTAATTAACATATTGGTTCGATTATCCATAATTTAGAATTGTTATTGCGACCAATTAATATTATGGTGGTTAATGATAAAACCACACTATTTATGACGAAATCATTTTATTTTATTTAATGAGACACAAATCTAATGGATAATAACTAATTATAGAAGGATCGCATCTTTTCTTAGGTGACTAGTCAATCAACTCATTCAAACCAAGATTCTCGAAATACAAGAACTTTTACACTAAGAAACCCCTCTTTGAATATCATTAGGTGACTCCAACTCAGAAACATGCTAAGGAAATACTTGACAAAATTTGCTATGTCAATAAAAAGCTTTTGGTTACTGAGAGACCAGAATCGTCCTTCTAAAAACGAAAAGAATTCTCTGTTGATTAATGCTTAACTACAAGGGGATCAACATGCAAAAAATAGATTAGAATCAAATCAATGAACAGATCAAATATTCAAAGCAAACTCTCAGATTAAGATTGGCTTGCATTCGTATTGGATTGAAATCCTTAATGTTTCTTGAATAATGACTGAGATTTTTGATGAATGAGTTTTTTAAATTTAGATGGTATTCCTCTTGCAATTTCCATGAAAAATTTATAATTAATCTTATTCTATATTAAATAACATGAAATTGAGTGATAATATTTTCATCAAAAATATTCAAATTCTTCTCCCGCCGACATTCTTAATGCTAATTGTTCCTTCAGAGTTCTTAATGATTTATTCAGTAATCCAATAGTTTAAGATACAACATCTCTGTCAGAATCCCTAAGAGTTTGATAAACTCAATTATTACCTCTATGATCTGGAATCCTAGTAATCCTAAGCCTCCTACTCACAAATAGTGAATCGATCATCTCTAGATAATTGGAGCATTTGTAATCTCTAATTTACATTGTCCAGAGTAGCTTATGTTTATTCGATTATTTCACTCACTCTAGAAATATATATATAAATTACAATGCCAAATCAGTTGTTGCAGATGCCAAAGTGCTTTCAGTTGTGTTGATTGAAATGACAAGCAAATTTCGAGTCTTCTCATATGCTTGAATTCTTTTTTCTTCTGAGAACTTCTCAAGATCCATTGAATCATGAACTTATTCTAATAATTAATCAATAAGCAAGATGACATTCTCAACTTGAGCTGAATCTTACAACTAATGAACTCTAGAGGTAATAGTGGCTAAAGCTTTGAACATTTTACCCCAAGAGGTTCTGTAAGTAAATTTGCCTATGATATTGTTTGAAATAATGAGTACTTGCTCTTTTGATGGATGCTCCGAAATGTTTTTACAGTAATTCAATTCCATTGTTATTCAATTAGATAAATGAGTTGTCATGTGTCTATAGATTCTCTGTGAATAGTGTTCTAGCTTACATCAAGATGGCAATAACATCTTCGTGTTCATGAATTTTATGTTGATACTCCTCACCTTCTTCTTCTCTTTATTGATCCAATTCATTCAACTCTCCAGTGAATTCTTTAAGCTCTCCTTGCTTTTGAGTGATTAATTTCTATAAGATTTGTCTCTTTGGATAAAGTTCACCTTCCAATCTTGCCTCCAACTTGATGCGTTCATTGTCACTCACTTTGATATTCTAATCTAAATTTTAGAGATCCTATTTGGAATGTTTAGAGACAATACCACAGTGCAGGAGTCTTGATAGTCCTTATGTGAAACATCCTCTTCTTTCTAATCCTAATAATATCTATCCTCTATTTATTGTAAAGTTCCCATTAATCTTTCAATCGGTTCTTAGGTTTACAATTATAAGTAAATTGTATCAAGAAGAGTGTGACCAAATCTGTTTTGATCAAGTTATTCAATTTATTATTTCATATCAACATCCTCCAATGCATAGTTTATCATCACAAGAAATGACAATAACACAAATTTGTTCACGTTTTTCATAAAAATAAAATATTATATATATATAATTATATAATTCATTTATTTTATTGAGGTTCTGCCATTACTGAAATTTCGCCGTCGTTGCATCCACAAATGAAAAACTTCTTATCCTTTGAGCAAGAAATTGATAATACAGGGGATTTGGCTGATATTTGAAATCTTTTTAATTATTATAAATAAGGCAATTATCTTCTAACCAATTCGCCATTTTCAGTGCCATATACCTATACAGATATGCATAAATTGTTACCATAATGTCTTAAAAGAGATTATTCCTCATAATTTGACAATCAATCAAGGATGAACTCTGCTCCTATTGAACTTCCAATAAGAATCCATTGATGGAATAACTATAAATTTGATGATCAAATGCTGAATAGAAAACGATGCAGAACAGCGGTCTATTGCTCATGACAATCGCATTGATTGGATTCTTATTGGGATGTATGAATGATCTCATCAATTACCCATTGTATAGATTATACAGATAAACATAACCACCTGTGCATCCAGTTGCAAATAGTTTCATATTGGTAGAAACATGAATGCAATTGATCTAAATTATGAATAATCAATTACTTGATTCTGATGATCAAAATACATGCATTTGGCATGCAGTTTATAGATATCCTTCTGCTTATCAACATTCCATAAGATGACATGTCCACTCTTATCTCCAGATATGATCACAGATTCCTTTTTATCTGAGGCCAACGTTGTGATAGTGGCAGTATGTATCTGATAGATATCAACAATTTGGTTGTTATCACCAATGATAATCAATTTACCTAGGTGATACCCTCCACAAATAAAGAGTTTGCCCTAATTAAACACCAACATAGGATATGAAGACAATTGAGCAGACACATCCCAAATATTGAAAAGTTCAGTCTGAGGTTTTTCAAAGTTGAATTGTTTTTCTCTTTCTAAACCACATTGGAAGGGTGGTTGATTGGCTTGAACATCAGTTTGACTTGTCCATTTAAGAAAATCAATCTTACCTTCCTTTCTTATACATATCAATCTCACATCTGAAATCCATTTTATCTTAACGATTGCTCTATTGCTTGCTTATTATAAATCAATAATTGGCTTCATGGTATTGGGTACCTTCTTTTTATTTTATGGCCTATAGACTTTTAATTCTTAGGAATTTGAAACAAAATGATGTTCATTATTGATCTATCTACCAATATGAGGTTTCAAGAATAACTATAATGGAGTAATTCCAAAGTTCACAACTTAAGCTTCAATACTAAGTCTATTTTCTTCCATCATTTACAATGTCAATTATTAATCGTATGTCACATAAAAGTAAATATTTAAATTCTTCTCTGCCTCTTTTCCTCTCTACTTAAATCCAAATATCAAATCAATCCATTCTGGTAAATTTCTTTATATTTCCTCACTTTCTAGTGCATTCCTTTAACCTGCCACAAATCTCCATGGATTATTATGAGACCATTTAGGCAATTAAACATTGTTAACAATGATTCCATTCTGTGTTTTACCAAATTGCAAGTTCTACAAATTAAGAAACATCTCAGGCAAACAAAACATTTCTGGAATCAACTCTCTTACATCTGCAATGTCCTCTGTTGCACAACGGAAACTCTCCACCAGAGAATAAAAGAGACGATCAGGAATATCAAACTTATTCCCTTAGATCTCCTTTGCTATCGATGTGAATGGTTCCAATCTTATAAGGAATTAAGAAGTAATAGCCAACGATGAATAATGAGATCCATAATGAAAAGCTGGGATCTCTCCTCCTTACTCTGACTGTTCAAATCTCTCAATGTAACTCTTGATTCTTGAATTATTCCCTAATGCACCCATAGTCTTCTGCATCGCTCTGAACTGCCCCTCAGGATATATTCTGACACTCGGTTCCTATTCTATTTATTAGTCCTTTGGCTCACAAATCACCCATGGAAATACAGGATATTGAGTCAAATCATTATAGCTTCTTGATGCCAAATTATTCAACAACAACAAATACTTGAAATTACTCATTTATTATCTTATGGTTATGATGATATGTATACTTATTCCATTTCTACAAGTACCCCTACTTCTCCAATAATTTCCCTGGATCTGTAGTCTTACTCTAATTGAAATGTGGAGCCTAGTGACTTTTACGGTAATTCAATAGCTTAGATGATATCTCATCCAGATCGTTTTGATCGCATATGTTAATAAATAAAGATTTCCTATATCATAATAAAATATCAATTACCCGTCAATGAAAAATAACTCCAAAGCAGTCCTCTTCTATAAATATTTCTTCTTAATCACCAAAGTCAAATTATAAATGGGGTACTTTTTAATCAATCGCTAATCTTCCTTCAATTCAAACACTCCTAAAGCTGCATGTGATCCTTCACTTTTCAAATATTCATATTACAATAAAATGTGAGTATTTGTTAAACTCATCAACGCAAAATAAACATACAATCCATTTATAACAAGAACTTTCTTGCCTTTAAATGTATTCTCTCCAAAAGATTTAAAATTATCTAATGCCTGAATCTTCTAATTTGCTATAGTTTTTACTGCATTCTTTATATTATTACCGAATGCCTTGCCCATATTCAATAATTGAGTAGCCGCTTAAACAGCCTAAGAATTCGTCGACTGTCTCTATCCATAAAGCTATTCGAATTTATCGATTTCATGACCCAAAATAATTGGAGCAGTCTAAGGAGTCTGATAGGCTGGTTTATTTCTTAACACATCTGGAATTATAGGGATGCTTTTTATATAAGGTCTAGCAAAAGATTTAGTGAGCATTTTTGATATTTTAATTTTAAAGTACTTGCATTAAACAAACTCTTCTTATGTTATGTCCTAAACCAAATCATTTCTTTAAATGCACCCTTAACCTTAAGATAGCCACCCATCGTTCAGGAACAGAGAATTCAAAGATTTATGATATTTATTTCTCCCAATTCGTTCCTTCTCACTCTCCTTATAAATCCACTATGTCTTCCTCTCTTCTATTTCTATATATCTGTTTTCCCCCAATTGTTACACATCTCTAGAAACCTTCTATGGTGAAACAATCGATTCCATAGACCATTGTTAAGGAATGTTCACCTTAATTTGAATCTCCTTTTTCAAAGTATTACCGCGGCTGATCAACTCTATCAATTAATCCAATACTGAATCATCTTGGAAGGATGTAGCAAAAACACTGTCTATGACTAAGTCACACTCTTAATTGATATCTGTGATGAATTTCCTTAATTTAGATGGCTGATTTCTCTCCTTTGATACAAACACAATGTAACACATAAATCTAATAACTTCTTTGAAACTCTCGTGATTCCTAACCTTAGATAGCATAAGTGCTAATCCAGTAGTGATTTCAAATTGAGAAATCTCCAAAGTGATTGCATATGTTTTAAGTAATTGGAATAAGTTGGCTTAATCTGTGCTTTCCAGTAAGATTTCATAAATTTGATGGTTTTGTATCTTAGTATTAAAGAACGATTAGACTTTTTAAGCCAATTCTGAATGATTGTAGCATTTTTATATTTGGTCGATTTATTCTAAAATTGATATTTAAAGTACCTTCTGAATTGCCATTAATCAAGTAATCCTTATGAATTAAGTCATAAAATTTATTAAACTTGTTTATCAATTAAGGGTAATATTGCTTCAGTTCTATCAAATACAATGCTGTTTGAGCAATGTTCTTCCACAGTTAAGAATCAGTCTAACATGTCTTGGATTGATCACTATTATGAATATCATTTATACTGTAGTTGGTCAATGATTACATTCATTTGCATTTCCACTAATTTCTGATTGAATTCGACACCCCATTTTAATAATTCATAGACATAATTAGCACCAATGAATTCAGATTTCAACACTTATAGAATGAGTGTGGTGTGTAACCGACTGCCAATTTCATAGATCTAGGGTAGAATAATATCTTACTAAATTTTGATCCTCTTGTGCTGATAATAATTTAAGAAGTTCATTTTGAAATGCTGCCTATCCTAAAATAAGGATGGAGTTGCCTTGATGTGACTTACAAAGACAAAGTAAATCTTATAAAATTTAAGCTTTTAGATTGTCCTCAATTGAAAAAGCAACAATTTTCATTATAGCATTTATGATGCCTTCATTCTTGATTTAATCTTTCTCCTCTATCAGCAAGGATTCATTCTCTCCAATCTTGATCTTATCAATCATCCAACTCATAAGTTAATTGTAAACAGAAGCAAATGATTGCATTTTCTTTTTTTGAACTTATTCAACTTACTAAATGGACATGGAAGATGACGAAACCTCCTTTATTTGAGTTACTAAATAATAATAACGTATGATAATACATTCTTATTAAAATTACTATTTTGGTGCTTAACTATTTTTTGTTGACATTGGTGGTTGTCTAGCAACGGTTTGTTATTATTATTATTTTGGAGATTCTACATTCTGTTATAATTTAGGAGATTCCACATATGGTTCTTCAGGTTCTCTATGTCCTTACATGTACATATGGCATGCCTTGGCTAATCTATTTATTTCTGCCATTTCCTTATTAAATGCTTCATGATCACTATATTTTATATGTTTATAAATACAATCCATTCTTTTTCCCTTGTTCACCTCCAAAATTATAAAGTGCATTAATAGCATCAGTGTCAATTTTAATGTGAAATTTCTTTTTTCCCTTCTAATCAACAGAAAATGAAGGAGGCTTGGACTTTTCAGTCTCAGGAGCAGGTATGGATTGAGCGCGAGGAGGTGGTCTTTGTTTATTATCAAAGAATCCTTAAGGAGGTTTACGACGATTGGTCATAGATGGAGCCTAAGGAACACTTTCATAATCATTGTTCAGGAATTGAGTTCCCAGATTTTTGAGTTCATCAAAATCACCCTACTATTGTTACTATGGTTATTCTTTTTTCATAGGTTAGATTATGGAACTACGACTTAACTCAATCAGGGGTTCGATAGCATTGGTAATATATTCAATGGCTTAATGTGTTTGGAGTTTTTGGTTTGGGAATTGCTATTGGAAGATGAGATGAAGGAAGTAGATGATCATTGCTCTGATATCATAGTATGGTGTTGATTTGAATATGAAAAGCAATGAATCTACGATGTTATTCTGATCCCATGTTTGGAGAATGAAATTGGTTTTGATTCCCTAATCTTCATTGTCAACTAATAAACTCTAAAAATGATTAATATTTGTACTTTTAAAATGGTTAGAATTTACAATAGGAGACAAGGAGATATTTTAGACATCAGATATTAATCAAAAAGAACTAGATGTTCAGAAATGTCAGATTACTGATTGAATAAATAAAAGATCTTTTCTAAGAATTGCACTTGAAAGGACTCCTCGAAGTCATTAAAATGTAAATCACAACATTGATTTTCAGCATATGCAAATATTAACATATCTAAAATGTCTTTGGAGGATATGAAATGTTGATAATGCTATGGATTTTGTAAATAAACCTAACAAGCCAATTACAAGTATTTAGAGAACACTTGATCACTTATACATTATTGATGCAGCTTTGGATTCCATAAGATGTGAATAAAAAAGTGATCCAATAATCTATTGTCTCCAATAATAGATTTGATCTCACTCAACAATTCAACGCATTTGGTGTTAATCAAAGGTTTTTCGAAACTCATAATGATTGAAGCAAGAGTCAGGAAGAATTGACTATTGAATGCCTCTGCTTGTAATTAATTATTATTTTTGAGAATATGGTTAATGACTTCAAACATAGTAGACAAATTAAGTTATGCTTGATTGATCTGTTTGTAGAGTGTTCCACTTAAATGTAACATAACGTAGAACAATCTGAATCCTCCAGAAAAGTGAAACTTATTCTTGTCTGCCATTACGGCACCAGACTTAGTTAATAAAGTAGCATTGCAATTCCCCATTACATCAATCACATGATTGCCATCTGTAAATTCTGGAATATAAATAGACATGATTCTCTCAAAGTACTTATCCAAACAAGCTGGCAATGTTTTCAATTACTTAAAATCCATTTGTAGTTGTCCATACACCGATTGGATGGTCTTGATTCTAAGTAAGGAATATTTATATTTTAATTACTTTGTGGAGGATTAATTCATTATGATAATGCATTAGGCTGTACCAAAGAGATTCTCGCATATCGTAAATCTTGTCAAAGCTATGGTTTGGTTCAAACGAGGGAAGTCTAATGTCATTGTCTTGGATTGTTCATTGTTGAAGTACAACTGAAATTCAAAACAATCATTACTGTTAAATGTGAAGAAGTGAATTTCTTTTGGCATTCATGGGAGATACCTATGAAATTCATCCCATTCTTCAATTGACCTATCAAAATTGCCCCGTTGTCTGGTTCCTAATATATTGCAGGTATTATCCTATAATAGACACTGCCTCTCAAAATGAAGCATTCCAATCCTCCACCGCCTTGTTACCCTTGTCCATGAACGCTTATTATTTTCTGCACACCCATATTCTACTCATTAAACAATTCATAATTTATATTCTCCACTTGAATCCAAATGCAAAACCCGAAACCCTCAACGAATGGCCAAGTAACCTTCTCCACTTTCATCCCACTGCCCATGCCAGAGAAATAGAACTGATTCTATTATTGCTGTCGAAGCGATTCCTATATTTTCGGATTTCAACTACTTTATACAATGTTAACAATGAGCCAAAGTATTCTGCTCGTAATTATTTTGGCAGCTCCTTGAAGTAATGTTTCAACACTTTCCTTGACAAGTAACCTCTCTATGCTGTCACTATTGCTCCTCGAATCTTTTTAAATCTAAAAATATCATTACATCCTGCAAAAGGCTATCTTAGAATTATCCCAAAAGTGAATTGTACTTGTAATTTAGCAATCCCTCCTCAAATCTTAGTTGAGAAGGATTTGCTACAATATTGTACTTCTGATTGAACTCACTAACAGTTTTTCCATATTTATCTTAAAACATAATAATATATTTGACCTAATCAATATTCATTTTTAATCATTCAATCACCAATCCAATATATAATTCAAAAATCAATATTCTTGAGATCCCATTGCAATTCCACTTAAAAATTCAGTCTTTTAGTTTCCATTTATTTAGTTTAAGCTAATGAAAAGAGTTCCAAATTTATTTTAAATCTCAAATATTTATTCTGATAATCTTTAAATTTTGGAACTTATCCAGTATTCCTTCGATCAAATAAGGAATAGTTTCTGCTACTGTCCATTCTCTTCTCTTACTAGGATCTATTCTCAATCTTTATATAATTATAATACCTTCTTAGATATGATCTATTTGATTTAATATCATTCAATATTTTTAAAAGACTACCTTATAAGTTGAGATGAATGTGTTTTTAATTGGTCATAATCCTTTTACAAGGTATATTCTCCTATTTACTTATCATAATTTATTGAGGATAGAATTATATTAAGAACTATTTGGACTGATTATTGAATATTTTGAAAATTTAAGTTTAATTAATGAATAATGAGTTTAAATTTGGACTAAAAATGACTCAGATTAAATTTATAATAATTTAAATAATTCTCATTTTTATAAGATTTTTCGATGAGAATTGAATTATTCTCTATCTTAGACTTGACTGTGTCTTTCGGTATAAAAATTTTTTCGCTTGCTGTCTTAAGTGATTATTTAATATATATATTACAAACTTCCTCCTCTTAAGGTTCCTCGTTTAATCCTTATAGGTTTAATTTGAAATCAAACTTTTTCTTCATTGTTTATTGAGCAAATTAGATGTATTTCTTAACAATTTCATCTGCCTTCTAAGTGGTATATTTATTGATTTGTTATGATTTAGTGCCCAACTCACTGATTATTTTTTTGGAATGGGATGATTTAGCTTTGGTACTCACTAATTTTTGATTTTATTATGAATTATACTATGATGGGATCATATATTTAAATTCAACTTTCTATTTACTTTCCACAGTGTTCAACCCCTTCATTTAATCATGAATCTTCAGCATCAGATCCTCAGAAATTGGAGGAGGTCTTTTGTAAGATCGATCAGTCAAACAACCTCCCTTGGCAATTCTATCAATCTAAGAAGTTGTAATTTTCTTGGGAAAAGGTTAATATACTTTTTTTAATGCTTCTTGTTTTGTTGAGGTACTACTATGCATACTCCCATTATTATTATTATGATCTTATCTAATACTTTTTTATTAACCTTAAAATCCTTGAACAGAAGTACTCATAGGCAGTAAATCGGAGGAGACCGTGCTTCTCAATTGTTTCATTTTCTGATATTCCTTAAGCATTCTCTATATCATTTATGAATCACTCTGCATTCTCGTCAACTTAGGTTTAGCGTCTAAATCATTGAATTATTCGACCCCATTGCCCAATTCCAGAGGTTCCTCCTTATTTTACTTAATAGTCGATAATATTTTAGATTCACTTTTAGAATTAGTCCCTATAATAGACATTGTTATACCTCTTTTAGAGCTGTCAGCTTATTTGCGTTGCTTGATGCTCTTCGAATATGTGGATTGCTTCTTGCGCTTTCCATATAATTGATTCACTTGTATTATGCAATCTTTGATTGTGATATCTGACTGTTCTGATTGATTTAATTGCTAAAGGTTTTTGATAATCTGCAACCCTCTAAAATCGAGACCTTACTTATTAGTTTCTTGAGTTCCTTCTTCATATATGTCATGTTCCTAGGTTTCGAAACTGATATTCTCTGTCAATTTTGAATTCAACACTTGCCTACTTATTACTTGTTATTGACTTTATTCGCGATCCTTCTAATAAAACAATTTGTCATATCTATTGTTTCTCTTGTTCATGATCTTATGAGCATCTATCACACACAAATTTGGATGTAAATGCTTGTAATTCTGAGTATAAAAGTCTGTAAGGATATCAACGCGTGGTTTGACTTCCTCTTAGTTGTAGAATCTTGTAATATAACATTACCAACAGCATATACCTTTTCAAATATTCCATCCGCTCATCTAAGATTACATAATCCTTAAAATATATTACATGCGGGGCGTGAGGGATCTATGCTATGATTTCGTTAATAGGCTTCGCAAAGTAGAAATTAAAAGCTTCAAAGTATTTCTCCTGCAAATACTCACTCATTTTTGTAAGAGCACCAATTTTGCATAAATCACAACTCTTCATTTTATTAAATAATTCATATAAAATCAAGAGTGTCTGAAATAATTTTTGAAATAAGCCGAAACATTATATATATCATTTTGACAGCAATTGCATCTCCAACTTTTTATTATCCTAGGCTATCACTCGAATCTAACATCATCTATAAATTATTTACCCTATCCTCCATGTCCTTAATCTCCTCCTCGTAATCAACATCTCTTATTAACCCTCTTAAATTTGAGTTCTCTTCTTCCAAGAGTTTAATCTATTTAATAATTATAATTCTAATACATTTTCGATTACTTTGTCTCTACTACTATCGTGTTGTTGATGTCTCCTGCTTACTTTTTCATCATAGTTTGCAGTATCAAATTTAAATCTATATTAAACCTCCTCGTGTTTCAACTTTTAATATGCAATCTAGTGTTGTTACACTTCTAACTATAATTGTTCAATGTTTTAATCAATTTTCATTCCTTCTTAAATCTATTAATTCAGTTTTTCATTCTCAATTATCAATCCAGTAATCTTATCTTCCAAATCAACTACTAAATTTTCTATCTTATTTTCTTGATTCATTTACTCTAATTCATTCAATTTCTAACAATCAAACTACTCAAATTATTATAATAAGTTGTCATATTGACTCTCCAATTCCTCTATTTTTTTAGTCTATTAATCCTTCTCTTTTCTGAGTTATTCAGCATCACTAATTTTTAGTAATTGCTAATTATCCAGATTTAATTTTTCGTTTAATTTTGAAAGCATTAAAATTTTGTTTTCTAATTCCTTAATGAATTGAGTGCTATTTCCTCTCTAAATACTAGACTCTAACTAAAATATTTATTATTGTAATGCATGATTCTGATTCTTCAAAATTTGCACATCAGATTCTAACTTTTGAGTTGTTGTATGAGACACATTTTAATTAAAAGGTTATTGAGAAACCCCTCTAAATTAGATGTTAGGTTTAGTAATTGGAGAATTTGGTTAAAAGTGCTTCTAACTATAGTTCTTCTATAAAGGGGAAGTAATCTATTGTTATTATTATTATTGTATTTGAAATTGAGTATTTCTGCGAAGTGGAGCTGGACTCATGAAAATTGCATTATTCTCATTAAGTCTGCTGGCATTGTTGATACTCACTTAATCCATAGTCTGATTTTATTATTTGACCTTGAATTGCACATTGTAATTTTGATTATTTTTATAATCACTATTGAGTGTAATAGCAGTTTTGAATTATTTATGTTTAGGTGTTGTGCCACAATTCTCTAGATCTTGATTGAAATCAATTTGAGATAATGGTTGTCTCGTTGCTTTAATTTGTGTATTCATAACTGTTAAATTATATATTTTTATAAACAAACAAAATTGCTAGTAAGCATATCAACCAAATGATTGATCTAATGCCTCTTTTTTTTTGGTCAACTCTTGAACCTGCAATTCTAATTGTTGTATTTTAGAGACTAATTGTTTTTTCTCTTCCAAAAAGAGTTTTCTCTCTTCATGAAATTACTTCTTCTCTTCTTCATATCGCTTGAAGCGTTCACGTACTTTTTGTTGTATTTACTATAACTACGATTTAAATTGATTTGAAGGACCAAAATCAGACGTTTAACTTGAAATGGATTAACAGAGTAAGAATTCTTTATGCTCTGTGTTTTACTTGCGTGTAATTGAAAGATCACTTTTCTGTGGAGTTACTGAAATTCTAGCGATATTATTTATGCTGGGTTCATTCAAACTCTTTCGACTTTATATAGTTTTCGTAATAGAGGGCGATTTACTCTGCATGTATGAATTTAGAAGAGTTTGGAATTATTTGAGTCGATTGTCCTAATTCTTCAATCTCACACAAGGATTGCTTTATTGCTCTCTACATTGAATCTTATTCACAGCACGTTTAATATTCTAAGGGGATAAACAATGATAAATAGATCCTGACTTAGGTTACGATTACATTATAAAATATTAATTATCATATTGATAATTCCTATACTCTATTCAACATTTAATATATAATATCTGAAACACAATAAATCAACTATCTTATTCCATCATGATAAATGTTCCTAGAGCAGTTCCTTGATTAAATATTAAGGATTCTTTGAATACTCATTCCAAATTTTCAGTGTAATTTCGTTATTCGAATTCATTGCCTTGAAAGTAGTAATAACCTCATAAAGATCTATGGTTGGTTAGATAGTGATTTTGAGGTTAAAGTAATTTATTGGTTTATGAGAATCATTTTCTGCTAAATTATAGTAGATTGAGGAATTTGCTACCTGTTGACTAATGTAATACAAAAGAATCTTAATATTATCTTCTTGTATGTTACAATTCTTGATTTTCTTGATGTTAATTCATCCTTAATCTTATTAATTTCAAAAACTTTGTTAAGTAAATAAATTCATTTAGTTTCTTAAAGAAAAATGTTTTTGGAATTAATTAAATATACTAATTTGCATCAAAAAATTATAAATTGTCTATTAATTTATTATCCGTTCACTTTTTAATCCAAAGACGTTTTCTCAATAATTAATTTATTAATACCAAAATTCTAATCTTTAATTCAATTTTAAGTACTTCAAATAAGAATTACTTTATTAAGTCCTTTTCGTTATTTTAAAATATTAATTATAAATTTGAATAATACCTAATTCCCAGATTAGTTCTTAAAATATCAATTGAGGTTTATTATAGGTTATAGATACAAACAATTAAGACACACTTAAATGTTTGGAACAAGTTAAATTGAGTAAGTAAATTTTCATTTTATTATTTATGCAATAGGAACACAATATTTTACTTATAGATTTTACAAATAATAAGATAGATAAATATTAATATTTAAATAAAATATAAAAATAATCAACTTGAGATGAGAACTGTTAAAATAAATAGTACAAAATATTTTATAAAAGAAGAAGAGCTGGTACTTTCTTGATTCGTAACATTATCAGAACTATCTGTGCTATTAGTAGTATTAGTATTATTAACAGTAGTACTATTTGTATTATTACTTGTATTGTTTGAGTTAGTGCTTGTATTTGTTTTATTAGTATTATTTGTTGGCTTTATTTTGGCATTACAAATTGCACATTTAGAAGTAGTTGGATTCCATGTGTACAAATAATTTGATACTTTATAACAATCTAATTAATTCAAAGTGATTGGATCAACTAATTTACAGGTTCCTTATTTTTCTTGACAAAAGGTTTAGGATTAGCCATCCCAACTTTATAAAATAGTGCAAGTTCCATGCTATTTGTAATAAGAATCACAATTGTGATCTTCACATGTACCATTTGAATTCCAATAACATTTCTAATTGGCTTATCTGCAGGCTTATTCATCATCTGAAGCAGATTTACAAGATGTCATCAACTAACAACTTCCACTCTTAGACCAATAACAATTTCCATCCAAACCCATAGTATTGCAAGAGACCTTAGTCTAGTAATTAGAGCACAACTGCCATTAGATACACTTAGTGCCATCGAATGTACAATTACCTAATTCTAAACTACAATTATCTAGACCTGGAGCTGAGATATCTGAGCATTATTTAACTTTGCATGATGGTTCAACTTCCGACCATTTGCAACTGCCTTCTGTGGCTTATGCATTATTACATACTGATTTTGATTTGTAAGTGGTGCAGCTAGATATCACTAAACATTATTCGCCATCAGAAGTGCATTTATCCATTACATTTATAAATATTGAGTTACATTATTAATGAGTATTATAATTGTAATCTGAACAAATTGAATCCCTACAGGTTTAAGTAACCTCATTCCAAAAACAAGAATTTTAATTGCTATTGATTTTGCATGACTCTTTAGCTTTATATGCACTGCAGTCTAATAATGGAATGCATCCTGTTAGACCATTGGATGTGCACTTTTTATTTGCATTTTGACACTCCTCATGTTTTAAGTAGTATGCTAAAGAGCAGGTGTCAAATTTCTTGCAAACCTTTTAAGTTTCCTTAATTGCAATTACAGTTTATATGCATTATCCATCATTTCCATTCACACAACCTCCATTTGTATTGGTTTCTGAGCATTAAGTTATTGGAACACATTTGGTGCCATCAGTAGTGCAAAAAGGAGAAATCTACTTACATTGTTAATCCGTATTCCATTAGATACTCTAACAAGAATTGTAACTATAACATTTTCCTGAAGGTTACTCATTAGAGAATTAATTATTAACCCATAAACATGGACCATTTAAACCTTCAATGCATGCTCCTTTTAAAGCTGTATCTTCGCAGTTCTTTATTTTGGCACATTTTGAATTGAGTCCTACTGTACAACCATTCTTTTGGGTCCAACAGCTGCCATGCGAGCTTCCAAAAAGATCTTCGCATTCTTTATTTCTACAACCACCTCCCTCCTTAACAACACATACATCTTTTAGGAAGGAATCGCAATCTTAATTCGAAGTTAGCGTAGTAGGAGCAAGATCGCAATTCTTATAAATACATCCACCATTAGCAGTCCAAAAGCAGCCAACACCAAATATATCTTTAACACATGCTTGTGAAGTATTGGCAACCTAGCAAGTTCCATTGTTCATGCATCCTCCTCCACTCATGGTGATACAAAAACTTAAAAATGTTGAGCATTCTTTATTGGTTGTGAATGTTTTTGGTGCAATAGAACATATCTTATCTTTACATAAATTTTCATTCCAATAACAAGGACTTCCTTCTAAATTCTTTATACATTCAGAATCTGAAGTGAAGTCTTTACACTAATTTAATGATGGATTTGTATTATAGGAGGTAGTGGTAGTTGTAGTGGTTGCTGTTGTGGATGTTGTGGTTGCGGTAGCGGTTGTAGAAACTTATTAGATTATAGTTTAATCCTAACATCCCCCTTGTTGACTTGACTCACAATCAGAAATCTAAGATTTACATTAAGAATCCTAAGTGAATGTTTTTGGTAATTCTTCGCACTTCTCTGGATATCTGCATTTTGTAGTATTCTTATCCCAAAAACACCACTTGCGATTCATATCTTATTTACAAGCCGTTTCTGTTTTATAAGAATCACAAATCCCAATTTCTACACAATGAACTCCATCGGTTATGCATCTTTCAGATATTTATTAACACTTGGAGTTATCTTTTTCTGCAAATGCTGTGCATCCAGTGAAGTGAGTGCAATATCCTTAATACAATTAGCAAGGTCCATTAGAAACACAGGATTCACAGGGCCTCAGTTTATTACAAGTTTCCTTTGAAAATTGATCACAATATTCCCTAACTATTGATTGCGGTTAATAAATTGATGTTTCATATCGGCATTGCTGTTTAAATGAATTCCAACTACATAATAATTAACTCATTAAACAATCTGCTTCTGTTAATAGTTAATCACATGAGCATTCTTATCTAACATTTTATGAATATCCTAAGTAAAAGAGAACTACAAGGAAAGAGATTTTCATTATTTATTTTTAATAATCAACTGTATTAACTAAGGCATTGCCTTAAGATCTAGAGAAATAGAATAATTTTTTATTAATTTACCTAAAATAAAAATATTCTATTTCACTAAATTTCAACAACTGCATATGATACTTAATAAATACTTTCTCAACTTGAAATAAATTATTGTCTTGATGATTCATGAAATTTTAATGAGTTATTAATAAATTATCATGAATTCATAATAATGTATTAATGGAAGATTATTTAATAAAAACTAAATTATATTAACAAATCAAGATTTTGCAAATCTTAACTTTAATTTTAATATATCAAATTCAAACGGATTGTTTTATTTATTTATAATAAAGACTCACTTTTCAAGTAGACACAATGTTTGTAACTTATAAATGAGCTAATTTATAAAATAATTGCTCAAAGTAATATCGAAGAATGAGATGTTTCTCAATTTCAATAATCTGTTAAATGAAAAGATAAATCTGAAATAAATGGATTTCTTTATTTTAGAAGAATTCTTGGATTTTGACGAGTGCTTGGCTTGGGTATTGATCAATCTGAATTAAATAGTCTATTTTAATTATAAGAACGTTAGCACCTGATAAAGCATTAATTATTCAAAAAAGTTAGTAATCAAATATTTTCTGAAATGAAAATATGATCATATCCAAGAAAATATTTTATATCATCTTTTTAATTGAATAAATAATCATTAGAATTGCAATAGAAATTGCAAATTTTATGACGATAGCAGGAATTTCTAATCTACTTTGGTTTGTAATTTTTATAAAAGTCTGTAAAATCTCAGAAGGGAATAATTTCTTCCGTTATGATGATCTTCATAATTCAATCTGATAAATATTAAAAATCAAATGATATTTTTAATAGATTTTATATAATAACAAAATAATTCTCTAAAATCATGTTGATTTAGTGTATTTAAGATGATATGATAAATAGTTATCATCATTTTTTGAATAAATTTATTAAAATAATTTGAAATAATTACTCTGTAATAAATGAATTGAAAAAATTCAGTTATAGTAATATTAAATTTGTAAACCTATTAAAAAATTGAAATTATATTTGAATAACTTTTTGATATTACTATTAAGATAAGAAAGATTAAGAATAATGATTGTCAATATATTGTATATTTAATAAAATAAATATAATTTCAAAGTCAAAACAATTCATTTAATTTCATCTAATTAGTTTTTGCTCTTAAAATATTCAATATCCTTCTCTGACAATTAAATCAATCTGCCATAATTATCTACTAAATGATTACCATCTTAATTCATAACATAACCATTTTCATCGACTTAATAAATTATTTCATCCTCCTCATTTTCATTTTCATGGATTATTGACATTTTATCTAAATTAAATATATGCATACATCTATCCATATCTTCTTTGGTAAGAATAATCTGCTAATCTTCTTAATTCAAAAATCTAACTGGTGATTCTTTATCCTTCATTAAATTACTATTATCTTATTCTATTGTATCATTATATTAATTATCAGGCAATTTTCTATTAAGTAAATAATCATTGACTTATTTATTAAACTATTCGTATTTTTTGATATAAGTATCATAAGTGTCTAATGTAATTTACTGTTATGGTTAAGGTTATTATTAAGTGCTTTGTAATTTAAGTTAAGTATCAAAATACTCTTTTATTTCTACAATAATTTCTTATTTTATTTCAGAATAACGGGCCAGCTCACTAATTTATTGTCCTTATGTTTTCTATAATTCCTCAATTTCATGTTTTAGCTATTTTGTTTTTTCCTATTCTTATACTAATTACTAATTTAATCCTTCAATTTAAGCTACAAATGTTTTATTCATTTTTTTTTATTCAACTAATTCCTGTTTAGATTGCTCCAACTCGGTTTTAACTAATTCAAAATCTTTTCGAGAAAATTCAAACATCTTGAGCATCTCTTCTCTCAATTGTTTTACCTGAGCTTCAGTTGAAGTCTAAGATGAAAAGGCTCCAACAGGGATTTATTACAGAGATCTTTGTGAATGTTATGGAGTATCATGTTGACTCAATAGCCTTCCAGATTGAAATGCTTTTGGATTTAAATTCTCTTTTTCTCTTTCCCTAGACTAATGATGTAATTGTTAAACAGGTCTCAATTCTTCAGTTTTTAGAACGATTGGTTATTAACAATATTGGGGTTGTTAAGGAACTACATATTAAGGTTGGAGAAACTGCATCCGATTAGATTACTATTCTATAAGCAAATAAATGGATGATTATACAAATTCTGGGACATGGACTTGATGGAGCTGGAGATAAACGTCGCTGTTAGTGCATTTTAAAAATAAAATTAAAATTAAAATGAAAACTTATTCAACCTATCAATCATTATGAGAGATACTATTACATTTTTATTGTGTCAGAGAGAGAAGAAATTAGTATTTCAAATAGAAGTTCATTGTTCTTACTTCCTTAGATTAATAAAAAAAGCATAGATATATGTCTTTAGTTTCTGAATTATATTCGAAATCAATGAAATAAAAAAGAAGAGTTTGAAGTTAGTTAGAATAGGTATAAATGTTGTAAACTAAATTTTTTTCCCTATCTCCTTTCTCTATTTATTTTCACATTATAAATAAAAATTAAATACAGAAAATTAGTAATTTATTATTTTCTTATAAGCCAGCAAAAATGGAGAAAACTAGACAATTTATTCTATAATTGATATAGAATTTATTGAATTTCAATATATATAGATTTAGTTTTATTTTGATTTCCAAAAGAGTATAATTGAAATTGTAAATTTTGAATAATCATATGTCTACTTTAATTCTCGAGGATTAAGTAGTTTTAAACAGGGAATTCGAGTTATTGACCATTGGAAATGATTCCTTTTTAATATTAGTCAATTTCAGTCTTCGATTGATGTAGCTATTTATCATTTTATGTTCTAAAAAGCTGCAATAAGTAGATGTCTTTGATTTTCCTGGAGTGATAGGCTCGTACTTGATTGGTTCATTGTCATAGATTTCAGTTCTTAACAATCTATGGTGTTTTCTTGGAATAACTTTGACTTTCTCTGCTTCACTTTAATAAAGTTTAGTAAAACAATAACTACACAATGAGATAGTCTAATTTATGAAGACTGTGTTATTTCTAAATTCTTAATATTCTTCTAAACTCATTCTAGGATACATCAATTTGATCACTCTTGGTATTAACTATGTAGGATCTATTTTAATCAATTAAGCATGCAATCTATGAGACTTTGGAGATTGAATTTATGACCTGTGATCAGATCCAGATTCCCAGTAATGGATTAATTCCTTTAGTTTAACTTTTGAAAATTCTATCTGATTCTTCTCTTCATCGCACACTATACATTTAGAGTTATCTGATAAAGTTATTGCTTTAGGATAATTCAAAAGTTCCTTTGTTACTTTTTTTGTAATTGAAAAATCGGCTTTGAATCAATTATATTTATTACGTAATGAAAATTTGGTTGGGACATTGGATGTTGATAAATTGGAACATATTATGAGATAGATTTATCCCTTTTTTGATAATTTAAATATCAATTCCATCAATGTGATTTCTTTTTAGTTTTAAGTAACATTTATCACATGAGACATGATTAATCCACATAACAATTCTAATCTTTGACAAAATTATGTTCCCTTTAAACTGAAAATCTAAGAAATTAAATTTATACGTTGATTATTCAACAGGCCCATTTTAAGTTTCAAAAGTCACGGCTCTTTAATAAATATCTGCTTTCTACATCATTATCGGATATTTATTTGTAAAGACTTCAAAGTAACACAAATTGTTTCCCCATGTACATTTTATAACTTCGTTCTTCTCAGCTAGATGAATCAATATATATGAATCTACATTTTGGATATATGAATTTCTGTAAATAGCCCTCAGTTTCATAATTCATTTGAGATATTAATGTACAAAGAAGATATTAAGACAGAAATTCGAATTCAGTTTAATTGTCTTTCTTCGTTATCCATACTGCACATATCTCATGATTATCATTTTTATCCTTCACAAAATCCTTTAAAATTGACTCTAAATTCAGTTTTGTTTTGCTCTTCCTCATTATTTGAGAATCCACACTGTAATACCAAAAATGAGGTTATCCTTAAAGAATTTGGATTGTGTCTGGAATGTCTAATCGAATGTTGTTTTTGAAAATTGGATCTTGGAGCCATAATAAATGAATAAGATTGAAGTTAAACCCACATCCTTCTAGCTAAAACTTATTAAAACTCATTATATTTAGTATTACAAAAATTAATTATCAATAATGTTATTATTCTCCACTCCAGCAACTTCATATTAACAATCAACTATCTTTTCCTCGTTTGAAAGCTATTCATCTTGCTCTTGCTCGCCTAAATTAGTTCCTACTATAATATTTGAGTACTAAATAGTTCTATCATATTATTCTATCATATATAAATAATTGATACTCAATATTTGGAGAACTTGAGTTTTGGATTTGATAATGACATAATTAAGATTTGAAATTGAATTGTTACACAGACGTAAATGTTTTAATTATTGAACTAGATTTGTAGATTTAATAAGGTTCTTCTGAAAAACTCCATTCTTCTAATACGCTATTCATTATTAATTATTATTTTTATTAATGTGAATCAATTTCAAAACTAAATAAGAAATATTATTAAATATCACTCTCAGTCGTCATCACTTGAACTTAGATCTTCATCATTCTTTCTTTTTTCATGTTCCGTCATTTTTGGTGGAATCTGTACTAATGGAGACTTTTGCAAAGGAGACTTACTAAGTTAATCTTTTAATTATAATTATTATCTTCTTTATTCTTCTAGTTATTTCACTAAATAATTAAACATACTTTCTTACATCCTTCTTTAACTGACCTCACTTCATTCTAAAATTCAATATTTGTATTGAATGTTCTTTGTTAAGGTTATTAAGGCTGGGTCAATAATTGTTTACTACTTGGAACTCGATTAGGCGGTATGGAAACTTCGTTAACCTTTGGTAGACACTTCTCTAGAAACCTAAGATTGTATTTTATTTATTAAGTACCGATCTAAATCATAATTAAAGAGTTTGGATTCCTAGATTCCCAAATAATACTCATTGAAATCTAATTTGAAATGAAGGAACTTCAACCTATCTTCTTTCTTAAGTTTTTCTAGTAATTCAAACATTTAATCTCTATATTGTTTCCTCAATTCTAATAAAGATTTTATGATGTCTTAATTTTTATTTTGAATTGATCTTCCTTAATTCTGCTGTTTGTTCACTAAATTCTTCAATTACAGTTGTTAATTATCAGTTTATGAGATTTAATCCTTAGCATAGCTTAAGAGCAACTCTTGGCAACTTTTAAATCTGAAGATGTAATCAAATATTTTGAATAATAACTTTTATGTGAATTCTCCTTTGGTATTTAAGAACGATCTATCCAAGATATCAGATATGAATAATTCATGTGTTTTTATTAAATTATCCAAATCCTAAATTTTATCTTATTCATCTATGAACTTTTTCCAAGAACTTTCTATTGCTTCTAACATTAGATAACTATAGAAATTTTTAATAAAGTGTTGCATCTCATTCATCATTTAGTAACTCAATTAAATTGCCTTTTTGATTACTTGGAATTAATTAGGAATTGCCATAAATTTCTAATGCATTTTCCAACATTAAGTCAATGTAAATTCAACTCTTTTGATTCTCCATAAAAAATTGAAAATCCTATAATACGACAACATAATCTTCTGATTGAAAATTGTATTCAAAGGTTCATCAATTGAATAATCCAAACAGAATATCTCCCAACCAGTATCATTTTAAGATGGCTCTAGAAGTTTCACATTTAGTCTGACCTCCTAAGAAATATTTTTGAATGCCGATTCCAAAATACTCAATAAAGTATGTCTATAACATTATTGAGCTGGTTTATTTAATTCTGTTTACAACAATTCCATCAATGTATGTATGAATTCTCCTTAACCCAACAATAAGAATCGCTTAATTGCATTTAGTGTTATTTTAAAGTTTGGTTTAATCAATTAAATCAACTATTTGTTGTATTCCTTATTGACTTAGTCAACAAAAAGAGAAAACTATTCTGTTCCTAGAAGGTCGATAGTTATCAATTCATAATTTTAATTGAATTGCGTAAATTTACACTATTTCCTAAGCCAATTAATGACTCTACCTGTATCAAATATTTTATAGGAATCCTCCAAAGAAATCATGTAAGGTATTTTATCTTAATTAACTTTGAATTCATTCTTCCACAACTCTCCGCTGTCTCTTATTTATATCTTATTAGAATCATTACTTTCTATAAAGAATTCCTATGCTTAATCACTTAGAGACCCATCAAAAATCCATTGGTTTATGAATCTAACAATTGGTATTGTAGTTTGATGCAATATTCTAGAAAACAATTAGGATGTTTATGGGCAACCATGCTTAGAATATCTGCAGAGTATAGAAATCACTAAAGAAGAAGTGGTTCCCAATTAGACATTCGTCAAAATTTATGATAACACTAAATTGATTTATACCAAATGATGCATTGGCTATTTCAACCACATGTACATTTTCCTTAGAGTTAAGGTAGACTCTGCTAGAAGATTTTCAAAATACGCAATCAATCTGTAGTATTCATTTAATTCTTCTTTAATGGAATTCTATAATGCTTACAAAACCAAACTCTTATAATTAGTTTAAGTGAATGTTAGTATTCTCTTGAATAGCCAACCACACTCACACATTACATTTAGTAATTTCCTACTTGCAGAACTAATGGCGATATCCTTTTTCACTTAAAATGAATCATTTATTGGATCATAACAAATATATTGACTCTCTATGCCTTAAATGCTAAATATTAGATCCTTAACTAAATCTTTTTCTGTGATAGATAGTGCCACATTTCCTTTATCAGTAACTTATTGGATAATCATCAATTAATCATTATTTTTAGGACTCTCATCTATGATTTTCTTAGGTATGGTTTGTGAATAATTTATTTAAGAGATCTCCTATGATTTAAACAAAGTATCTAAAGTCTAATTTGTATAACTATTATTTTAGCCAAGTTAACTAGTACGAAAAAGGAAATGAATTAATTCATTTTTCTTCCTTAATCTCGTTTTGCTCAATCGATTCAAACAATCTTGCAATCTATATGCTTATGATTTCTTTTGTTTAGATATGATATTACATTAGTCATTTTAGTCATCTCTGCTTGGAGTTCAGATTCATCCATCAATGTATTACCTGTACGCACATTCAGAATTCTCAAAAAATAGGATTTATAGTTATTTAATGTGCACTCCTCGATCGAATCTGGAAATGCTTATTTCACTAATTAATGTAAGAGTGTTTATGTTTCCATCAAATATTTGAATTGAAATTTGGGGTGGAGTTTATAAAATTATTAATAATATAATCACTTATTGTCGTTATTTGTATTAAACAGTTCTTCGGTATCGATCATTCAATTACTCCATCTACACCCATTTATTGTTAAGCCATTCACTTTTAATTATGTTCTTATTTTATATAAAATATGATTCCCTCTATTATTGCTCTTTTTAATTAATTACTTTAATGTTTATCAATTTATTCATGTAAACAGACCTTCTTTACTATTCATATTTTTTCAAATAAATTTAAAAACTTATCTTGTTTCTTATTCCAATATATTTCCATTTTCAAATAAGAGAGTTTTACTGCTTTCTATTATATTGCGCTTAAATCTATTTATCTACATGCAAAATTTTATATTGTAAGTATTATATCAATTAACTTCATGCTTTTTGATTAATTTTGTATCAACTATTCACTATCATAAATTAGTTATAAACTTCATATGATGATCCATTAAGTAATATTATTTTTCTGAATCCATGTTTCTTTCCCTCGAAAAAAGTTTCTCTATACTCTTATACTCTGCAAAATTATCTTAGCAACTCCATATTAAAAATTATTCTGCTTCTTCAATTCAAATAAGTGAAAATTAAATATATTAAACCTATATGTGCGCAAATCCACCTTCCCTGATATGTATCTTGTTGTGTAAATCTACATTTCATATATATCTACATGTTTTAAGTTGTAAATTTCCCAATTATTATAATTATCTTAAAAGAAATATTTTACTTTGAAAATTATCAAAACAATTTTAATGATTTTTTCATCTATTTTCCCCTTGTTGATTCCATCCAAATATTACTAATAAATACAATATATTTGAACATCTGATAAAGGATATTTAATATAATTTAATTTATATCAAATTCTGTTAGTGTTACTTAACTAGTTAAACGACTATTATTGGATCTCGATAAATTATGATATTTATTTTTTATCTTTTTTGACATTTTACAATGTTGTTAATGTAAAATTTTATGAAATCTATTACTTTTCATGTTTATTGTTTTATCAAATAATATTTAAACGTATAATCTATCTTTTAGTTCAAACTTTAGGTATATTTATTAAGAACAAATAAAATATGAATAACGAAAAAAATATTTTATATAATTAGACTATTCTCATAAAAGGATTTCATGAGATAACTATTAATTTGAGTCCTTTAAATCCTATACAACGCAAATTAGGTATCAGACATCTGGCCAAGATAGTATAAAGCATTAATGCTTAATTTTTAATTATTAACTTCATGGAATGTTGATTGGAAATCTACTCTAATTATTATAATTAAGAACAGATGGATTAGCAAGAGATGTGTTGTAAATGCATTGATGATGTAAGGTTTATATAAAAATTCATAACTATTTTACTTTTTCATTTTCATCATCTGAGAATCCTAGATCGTTCATGAGTTCTGTCACACTTTTCTCAATGTCATCAATTCGCTTTCCTAAGAGAATAGATTAGATTTAGATTGATTACCCATATCATCAATTCTAGAAACAATAGTGCCTTGCATTTCATCAAATCGATCTTGCATTTGTTTGAGGAGTGTTTACACAAAGTTGTTTAACTCTTTTGTAGATGGATCCTCTGACATTTATTAACCTCTCTCACTCATTTGAATTTATTAAAATATATATTATTAACTATTATTTAAAATTGGAACATAAATAGAGTGTTTTTTTATGTGTTTAAGTGTGTATAATAATTAAAGTCCTTGGTTTTAATGAGAGTACGATAGCAATTTGTTCAAAAAATATTTAACGATAAAGTGATACAATTTTTTTGACCAGTCCATATTTGACCATAATATCTTGGTATAAAACAAAAGAATTCTCTTAGTAAAGTAGGTATGATTGGAGGTCATATAAATTTAAATGATTATGAGCGTATCACAGGATGAATATGGTGTTCTAAGAAAATAATTGATAAAATAATCTATCATAAAAATGAAAACAATGTTTTGGAATGCTTATAAGGAAGATGTTAAGATCGGAGAGCTTTTGATAAAGTCGGAATTTTAGAGAAAGGGGAAGCTTCGTTATTTAGGGGGGAGTGAGACAATGCTGATGATATACGAGGTTTCAATTAGAGTTTAAACTTAAGGACCCCCAATTCAAAAAGCCTAAAAAGTATACTATGATTGACTTTGATCTGAAATTTGAGATGGTGCGAACAGCTCCAAAGATGAAACCAGGGTGTCAAGTAATTAAGCTCTCTGGAAGTGCAAGAGCTGATTAAGTGAAGAGCGAAAATATTGAGAAACTTGGGGAGCCGACTGGGTTATGGATATTTCGAGATGAAGACCACAGGTATGAGTTGGTTGCTCATTCCTTGGTCCTAACATAATGGAGGTGGTTCTTGGGGAAACGAATCAATTAGTATGGGTTCCATCACTTGTTCAAGGTTTTTAAGAGGATTGGAAAGGGAAACTTTGCTTCAGTTTATTTGGCTGAGAGAGTAGAGGATGGGCAGTAGATGGCTATTAAGGCATTTTCTAAAAGTGTGGCATATGCAGAAGAGAATGGAAAAGAAGGATTAATGAATGAAATTAAGTTGATGCGATAATTGGATCATCCAAATATCATCAAATTGCATGAAGTTCATGAGACAAGCAATTCACTATATGTCTGTTTGGAATTGTTGGAAGGCGGCCAATTATACGAATAATTGAAGAAAAAAGTCATATTCTCAAATAAAGAGATCTTAACTATAATTAAGGGATTACTGGAAGGTACTTTCTAACATTTATATAAAATAGGTCTCAAACATGTTCACTCAAAGGATATCATGCATAGAGATATCAAATTAGAAAATATCTTATTCAAAAAGCCTAATCAAATAGAGTCTGTATGTCTGGCAGATTTTGGATTGGCTACCTATGTTAATGAGGAAGTGTATTTGTATTGTAGATGTGGCACTCCAGGGTATATAGTGAACCATATATATATATTAGATTTGTGGCACCCGAAGTGATCAACATCAAAGATCTCACAACCAAATATGATAAGGTTTGTGACATCTATTCCTTGGGGTTAGTATTCCATTTACTACTCACTGGAAAGCCAGCCTTCACTGGACGTAGTTATACTACAATAGTGAATCAGAACAAGGAGGCTAAGATACAATGGAAGTCATCAGCATTTGACATAATTCCAAAGGCAGCTTTGAATCTTTTAAAAAGAATGCTGGAGGCTGATCCCAAACTAAGGATCACAGCAGAAGAGGCTTTGCAACACAATTACTTCAACCCTTATCATATACCAAATATTGCTTAATTTGAAGACGACAACATTGACATTGATGATAGTTGTTAATTGGATTAGAGACTACAAAAGATTAATGATCTTAATAACAAGTTTGATATGATGCGTATAAATCAGCTCACTAATTCTCCAATTAGATCTCCAAACATTAAAGCCACACAAACTCAGGCGATGAAGGAGCAGATGAAGGAAAGTGTCTAATTGCAAGAACAGATGATTATGCACACTCCAGTCATAACTGGAAGAGTAGAAAGCATCGATGGTATTTATGTTTATTATTGACTTATGTATAGATTCCCCTGGAGATGGGACGAAACAATAATAAAAAATGAAAGAAGGCTTGTCTAAACACAAGAGATAAGAATCTTTGAATTTCCTCTAAAAATACAAATAACAATAATAATAGTAGCTAGTTAATGAAGAAGATTCATTGCATTAACAAGAAGATTGTAGAGAACCTGCGATTTAATAAGTCAAATAGAGTTTAAGCAAAAATTTGTGATCTACGTTTAAAGCAGCTTATGATATATCTATTCTAATATTTAGATAGTATAATATAGTCTGAAGTCCTCCTTTGTGTATATATTATTTTTAATTTTTAAAATGGAAAATTAATTTGAACTTGAGTAAGCCATTAGGTAAATCGACCTATCATCAATAGCAAATCCGAAGTCATCCTTGAGAAATGTCTTACCATGATGCGTCCAGAGGGACTGGAACAGTTCCATTTCCGTATTGAAGAATAATTTTATAAAGTCAAAGTAAAATGTTAGGTTTATCTTTATTGTAGCAAAATAAAGTGCTTTTGATTCACGAAAAAGAGGGAGATGATTTATAGACAATGATCGCATATTGGATTCAAGAACATCAACAAAGAAATGTAAGCATTATTAAAGAATTAAGAGAGACCTAATTATTCCATATATTGTTGAGCACGAGAACTAAAACCATTATTATGCCATTTATTACATTTTAACTAAATTAAGAGTACTTATATTGAATACATAGGCTGTCTTTAATATCACCTAAAAAGTTGAATTAGAGAGTGAGAAATTAAAATAGTATTTTGAATATTGGTTGAACCTATGTTCAAGAGAATTGGGCAATCAACTATACAGTGATTGTAAAGTAGCATACAAACGAGTATATCATATAGTATTATTGAGGGTCATTATCGTTATTCAAGGCATAGATAAGTTTTATAGTGGTGGCGAGGTTAGAGTGTCATCTTGGTTGCCCAAAATACTGCCTGATAATATCAAACTCATAGCTTCAGCCAGATTTGGCAGTAAAGCTTATGAATACTATTAATCTATTGGTAACCCCATAATTCCAATGTATATCTTACTGTATCATTCTAGTGAAAATGAGAGCATAGAAATTTGGGATCTAATTAGACAAAACCCTCAAATTCATAATGCCCTAATGCTTGTTCCTGAATAATTGCGTTGTCAGTTGCACTTTCTCAAAATCTTCCACACCATCCTAAGCAATCCTTTAGATGAATATGCATAATTAGTTTCAGAGGTGTTATAATAGGCAGAAAGTATAATTTAATAGCTCATTAATTAAAATAGAATTTCAGACTGAAGTAGAGTTCTTTACTATCCTTATTAATTAGTTTTGTCATCACAATGCCATTGCCTCATCCATCTTTTGTGTTCTTTCTTATGTTAATAAAGGTATCTCAATAGATGAAGTGATGGCCAGTTGTTCATGCACTCAAGAACAATTCATCAAAGTCTATGATTTTTTCAAGGTAACACTACATGAGTATCACATAGATCTGTTTCCTAGAGAAGAATCTTGTCTATTCTATCTATATCCTTACTATGAGATAGGCAATTTAATAAATCTAATTTAACAAAAACCTTTATGATTAATATTTATTGATTATTGAACATTCAACCAACTCAACCAGAAAATTGGAAGAACTCATTCAACAATATAGTAAAAACAAAAAGTATTTTAAACTCAAAGAAATCATAATTAATATTGAGCATTTCCTCATTCTTTGGAATCCCTACAATAAATTTGAATTATGTTAGTTATGGGAAATGCTTGAACAAAATGGATATGATTTGGTTATGGAATATAATAAGGCTGTCGAGAACTTCCAGGCTATCTATAAGCCTACGACTGAAGGACTCTTCTTCATAATGTTATAAATTTGCATTTTTCTAAGAGAATTTTCCAACTTCGAGAAGTACTATTTAATTCCCTATCCAATAGAGATGGCACTCCTGCCTATAAACATCCATTACTGAGAGGTCAATCAATAGAATTCGAGGAGGTTGGATTATATGGGGAATTAAGTCAATTAAAAATGCTGTCCAAGAAGAAACCAAAGTAACAATTGAATGAAGATTATTTCCCAACCATAATGAGTACTGTCTAATTGGAGAATCTTAATTTGGACATTAAAAACAATCGGGATAGCTTCATTAATTATTATCAATCCTAATTTGATTCAAACGTTTTATAAGAATACTTACAAACCAAATAAGACTTCTTAAGAGAGAAATTGTTATCCACTTCCAAAGTTCCAAATCCCTATTATTATAAGAGATGGTTATGGGTTCAATTTCCATGGTTGGCATTAACTTAGAAAAATAACTTCTCCAAACTTATGCAGTTCTATGGGAAAGACTCTACCTAATATATGTCCATTCAGGAAGAAATATAGATTAATCAAAAGGCAATTCGATTGGTTATCAATGCTAAGAGTTCTAAGGATAAATCTATTCACAAATTGCCTGAAATAAAACAACGCTATTATAGTCCCACAGTGAATAAGGATGAGCCTGTTCGAAGATTTAATCAGTCTTTAGAAAAAAGTATTGATAGGGCTCCTTCTACAGGTAGAAGGGAATTGGCTGAGAACAAAAAGAAGGTGCTCTATGTTAAGAAATACAATTAATTATAGTATTAGAAGTACGAACATTTAAAATTATTTATTAGCTAACAGTTGAAGAACAAGTTGAAGGAGTTGTAAACAGTTAAGTAGAATCTATACCCCCAAGAGGCTACAATTGAAGCTTATAGATTGAATGACTAAACCAAGACTTAGGGAGATGAATTGAAGAAGTAGATGGACAATTTGTAGGGAGTTTAGAATGAAATGAAAAGAATGCAGACAGTTTTAAAGTTATGTCAATTCAATTAAGATTAGAATGAAGAGAGAGTGTAGCAATTATTTAGACATTGCAAGAATTTGGATAGGATGATAAATGAATATAAGTAAATAATAAAGGAATTGAGTGATAAGTTAGGGGTTTACAAGCAAAAGAATAAGGTAGAACCTATTAAATAATAATAACAAAAACAGCCTATTTCTAAATAGTTTATGACAATGAAGGATTTGAGTTAAGCTAGTCAAAAAAATATGAACACTAATGGAAATATCAATTTGAATATGAATACAGATTATAAGATTAAAGTTACATTTGATATATAAGATCAGAATAAGAATTTGAGACATCAATATTCGATTAATAATAATTTATAATAGTAGGATAAACTACGTGAAACTCAGACTAGACTGATGTTGGAATAAATGCCATCCAACAGAATGATCACTCCTGGATATAGATTATCACTCAAACCAAAAGGAGATGTTAGTGATCAAATAGATTCACACATTTTAGAATAGATTAGACATCTTAACACTTTAGGAATTGCCAATACTTACAACAACCCAACATTCGATGAATTTCTAGGTCATTTAACAAAATAGAATGAATTAAATCTGGAAGTCTAAGAATGCTCAATTAAATTGAATGAAGTAAGAATTAAGAAATAGGAGAAGTAAACGTTTTTGAAAGTATGAATTTGGTACATTTATAGATCTTACAAAAAAATGAGAAGCCTTAAGATTAGAAAGCTGAACAGTTCATAACATCTGATGATGTAGATAAATTGAGAAGAGCTAATGATGCCAAGACTATTACACTAAAGAAATTGAAATAGTAAAAGGCAGTGTATAACTTTTTCCATAACAACCTATACAAAGATGTCAATGCTTTCATCCCCATCAAAGATAACCTAACAATAACCTAAATATTTAGTTTGATTTTAACTAATTAATTTTCATTATAATCATGATTCGAAAAGTAACATAAATGGTGCCAAGCACTCTAATGTATATTTCTAGAGTAATAACTCTTTGGCTCTTCTTTCCAAGAACCTCCCCAATATTATGCGTTATGATGGTTGATGCAGTTTGTGCATTCTAAAAAAGAGATCTCTCTCAGATGCATCATAATTATGACTTCTAATCAGCATCAACTTTAATTCTATTTCCCTCACTTTCCATAGATCGGTATCCTTAAAATATTAGGCATCATTTTTAGCTAAGTATTCTTCCAATCCCTATAGTAATTGAAATTCTTCACAAATCACAGCAAATCTTTAAAAGGACATGTATTGTATAGATGATTATTCTATATCACATTCAGAATTAAACATGTTGATGTAATATTGTTCGTCTTTCTTGTTTTCAAGTTCAAGCATAATCAATCTGAATTAATTCTAAGTTAGTCTCTCGCCCTCATCTGCAAAAATTTGCAAGATCATAGAATACTTAAGGAGCAATTCTTGAATTTTGATATCTTACATAGGTCCTAGATGATGGGAGATCTCTTGATCATAATCAATATATTGAGGCAGTCTCTGTACACTCTTAATTTGATCGGCCAATTGGGATTGTAGAATTGAAATACCAGTGTCTTAAAAGTTTACATTTGAAATAGTGCTCAAGATCTATAAGTAAATCAGGAAGCTTAACTAATAATTATATAGCATTTATTAAATACATCTCCGACCAACATCGCATGAAATAGTCTGGCTGAGTCATTCTTTCTTTTGTAATAGATTACTGATTTAATTACTCTAGCCACTTTGCCTAACCATACATTTTAGGGTTATGATTGATTCTCACTAGAAAAATACTCATATAATTAGACGTGCATGGGGTAATTGAATTTATTGAACTTTAAGCACCAGGACGCAAAACTTGATAGTGTTTTCATCAATGTACTTTGAGTTACAATATTTTCTATTTTATCTCTTCTGAATTATTGAATCTCTTATAAAAGAGTTTGAGTTGCAATCGAAGTATTTTTGCTTGGACATCTATTCACAAACAATTTCTTTTCGATTGACAGTAGATTCTTTACAGGAATTCAAACATTCAGATAAATCGACCTCTTCTTCTGAAGAACTGGATGACTCTTCGAATTTATTATCAGGAAAGACTTTGATATAATTAAAGAGGTACAATTTAATGTGATTTGTGGTTTTTTGAGGTGAAAACTACTCAGGTGGCTCTGGCGAATCACAACTCAATTCAATTAAGGAATTACGTTAAGGTATGCTACTTTCTTAGTGTTCAAGAGGAGTCATTGGGGGAAAGAATCCAAATGAATTTTTAGGATTTCCAGTTAACAATAAATTTGGACTGGTACTTTAATGTTAAGGAGGTAACAGTGTGGTTGAACTATTCATAAATGCTTATTGTGCTGGAGGATTCAGATTGTTTAAATTATTAGTACTTATCATCATAGCGTTAGGAATAGGAGAAAATGCTTTTGGAAATTCCAAATGAATTTTATGTTTTTAGGCCTTACGACGTATTTAATCCTGATGGTACTGAGGAATGAATCTGGAGATTGATTTAAATTGCTTCTCAATAAAATTGTAATTCTTGACTTACTATTAGTATTTGTTACTCAGGATTTCAAACCTCTTTTGATTTTAATTCTTTTATCGAACAGCCTATTTAAAATCAATTTGAGTTTCAAAGATCTAAATTTTACGAGCAACCAATTCATCCTTCAACTTTTAAATGATATCTTGAAAGTGATGAGTTAATAACACAAACACAGAATAAGAACTCTAAAAATATTTGTCTACCTCATAGAAATCATCTGAAAAGAATTCTTCCTTCATTTTCATAATATTAAACAACTAAGATGACCTAAATTTGAGTTGGTCGAGAACACTTTCAAACACATTAGGAAATGTCTTCTTTTCAATTTCGACTTTCTCTATATACAATTGATAGTAGTCATCAATGAAAGCTTTGATCGGATATCGAGACATTTCCAAATAAGTTTATTCCTCACTGTTCCTGGGAATACACTCTCGATCTTGATTAATTGCATAATTTGCTTCACAAGCTTAATTACATTATTAAGGAGGCAAAGTCTGAGTCCCCTAATCATAGATTTTTTTCTTCTAATGAATAGTTTAAACGGAACAATCCTAGGTTTAGATTAAACTACATTAATATATATTCTAATATACTCGATGGTGTCTGTTTGTGAATCTGCAAAGTCCATATGATTGCCAACACATTTATCTTTAAAGAGAATCTCTTCGTATTCTTCCATCAAGTTCTCATCCTTTTAAGCTTTATCGTCATGTCCTCTCTCTAATTCTAACATTTTATTATGATATGCTTCTTCGAACTTGCGAGTCTATTCTTCAAACACTAACTTAAAATCATCGAATATCTCTTTCTTTGCTTTATATAATTCCTCCTCATAATCTGCTGTCACATTCTCAGTAGAATGTCTGACTTACTAAAATAACTTATATGTCTCGTTCTCTTTGTTCAGATCCTGTAATTGCAATTTCAACAGTTCAATGTCGTTATTAAGACTTGTAATCTGTGTTTGATATGTGTTTGTCTTCTTGCGTAGATATTTGTTCTCCTTATTCAATTTCTCCACATATTCTGTATTACGCTTCAATTATTTTTCTGCTTCTTACAATCGTTATACCTTCTCAGTCATTGAGTTCTAGTACCTCTCATGTATCTTAATTGTTCCAGCTAAACTCTCCTTTTCCAATTTACGATTTGTTCTAGACTATTTATCGATAATCTCCTTAACAGTGCCTGTAAATTGAGTCCATATCTTATCAATCAATTAGGAATAGTCATTGCATTTCACAGATAACTATTGGCAAAGCTATCCTATTGAACCTGAATAAATCAACTCCATTTTATCATAGAACTCAGTTATACTATAAAAATGCTGCTTTTGAATCTGCTGCACCATAGACTTAATAATTATCGAAATTACATACATCAGTCCATTATTATAATAACTGCAAATCCTTTCTTTCACTCTAATCATTTGTGATCTTTTATAAGGTTCTAAAAGCCTTATTACTTGTTCCGATGTTTGCTCTGCTCATTAACTGATTCATTGCAAAAATCTATCTTTTTACTAATACTCATACAGTCCCATCCTCTCCTTATATAGTCTTATTGATCTACTACACAGAGGGTAGCTTTACAGGAGATAAATACTCATCAGTCAATGTCTGTACCCGCATTTATTTTTCTCTTCTCATATTGTTATATATTTTATGTAATTACGAATTAAAATAAACTAAAATTGAACAATCTATTTTTAAATTGTATCTTATCAATATCACTCTGATGTGAAACCTTTTCAACTTCATAAAATGTTATATTTCATATTTATAGATATATTTCTCAATTTACTATTACTAAGTTGATAATGCAGCAAACAATGAGGTTGCTTGAATTTAGTTTGTATCAGTTATACGTCATCAATTTACATGTTTTATACTTTTTCTAATACAACTTAATATTTTTATATAAATTTTGCAAAAAAAGATCGAAGCTTAATGAATTGCTTCTTAAGGTATCTTTTCTATTTTCAAAGTCTCCAATTTATAAATTAATAAATGTATTTTTTCATTTATCTTTCTAAAATTTAATGAATTAGTATTTTAAATCAATATGGATATTATGAGAACGATGACTGTTGATATAATAAATTGATTTAGCTATAATCCCTTGAATATTTTGTCAATGATATGTAATCTTGCATCTAAATGGCAACTGGAATTTATATTTAATAACAATTAATCTATAAAACTCAGCTAGTGTTAAAACTTCCATTCTCAATTCTTTTTTTGAGCAAATAATAAAGTTTTTATATCATAATATCAACATCTTCAATAATATGGTTAATAAATTTATAATGGATATCTCCCTTAATTAAGCATATATTAAATTCATAACTAATATACTATAATGAGAAACCACAAATATAGTAAATGATATAAAAAGAACTCTTGAAATGATATATAAACTTATATAGATTATATTTGCTCATCTGCTAATATTTCTAAGTGCCCTATCTATTTTTTATGACAATGAGAAAAGCTCATTGACGTAGCCTCTTGATAATTATTTAATTTCCTCTGGTTATGAACAATCCAATTGTCTTGAGATTTCCAATAATTCAGATAATGGTACAGCTTGATCTAGTCTTTTTGAAAATGAATGGATTATGGTTTTGCTATTGTCTTTTGCAGTAGATTAAGTGGATGGAGATTAAAATTACCAACTTCCCAAATTTCCAAGTGATTAGTTCTTTCTTCTAAATGCAGATAACATATCATCATTCTAAGTGTGAAATCTACTTGGGTTATTCCTTTTAATTAGTGCAATACATAGTACCCATCTTGAATTCCAAATATTTTGCTGGGTGATGCCAAATTGGGATTATGATCTTCCTTGCTTTTATTCAAAATTGTGTGATGAAATTTGTTATCTGATTTGTTATCTATTTATTCCACCCACTCTGTAGGGTACCTATATTATCGATCACTAGAACTTACCTTCTTAATTCTTTTTTATCACTGCTGTCTTTAAATGCAGAACTCGTACGAGTAGCTGTTGTAAAAGCTTAAGACTGATTCAAAACAGTGCTTCTTTTGACAATCGAAGATTTTTGAACACTTGATTACATTGAAATAAAATTTATTTCTTAATAAAACCTACTATTAATTATTTCTGCCTCAAATAATATAATAATTTAAATAAATTTTCATGCAAATATAATACGACTTAAATATTTCATTAAACTTTATAATAAGATTTATGTGAGATTTATAATTTATAAGAAGTTTCAATTATCATTATAGATTATAATAATAGTAATAGAAATGATAAAAGGAATCATTGTAGCATAAGTTACCGAAGCTCTTATTGAGGATGGAATAAAACTAATGAGATAAATAATAGGATCGTACTTTGATGCTACTTGTTATTCTATTTCCTAACCTGCAGAAGGAAGTGTTTGGATCATGTATTTAGATGGAAATCATTATTTACAAAATGGTCAAGTTCTAAGTATGTTCTATCACCCGACTAAAAGACACACAGCAACAACAGTTGGCAAATTAGGCTAAAAATAGAGTGTGGCTGGACCAGGATAATGGGCATATTCAAATTAGACTAAAGGGGCTTATGGAAATAAGGCATATTACAATATCTTATGATATATATTAAATATGCAACTTAAATAATACAACATAATCTCTGGAAAGACTAGTCTCAGTACTTCTTTGACACAATTGATATGGTTCAAATAAATAATTCAAATTCTATTAAGTTCAATTAAAAAGAATTAAATCTTATATTTTTTAAATAATTATTTATCAACTACTAGTCATAAACTTAATAATAAACATTTGTTTTAAATACTTAAGATATGAGCTTTTGCTTTAGATTTTATAATAATAACAATTCTCAAAAAATTCATAGTTAGTTTAATAATTCGAAGTTGTTTGAAATATTTGAAATTCTATAATATTATTTGATAGAAAAAACTCTTATACAAGTAGAAAAGCAGATGAATAGATGCAATAAAGAGGAGATTATAATTAATGAAGATTATCTATTTTAATTTATATCAACACATAGATCATCATTATTATTTGCATTCTGGCTTTTCTGTCTTCTTACTTTCATTCTTATCACCCTTGCTGCTGCTTGACTTCTTTCTTTTCTAATAATTGATAATTATAATAGAATACTGATTTTTTTTTGTCATCTTCATCATCATCGTCGTCCTCATCATCTTCATCGTCATTTTCATCATCATCATCTATTTCAGCCATTTCTGGTTGTAACCCTAAGAACAATTCCAATGAGCATGGAACAATGGAATCAAGGAATTCTGTAGCAATGTCAAAGTGTTCATTCATTAAATCTTCTTATTTTTCAGCTTCTTCATCATCAAGATCTTTCTTATTTGTAAGATCGAAATCTTTGAAGAATCCAAAGAAACTTTGAGCATCAACAACTTTATCAACAGTTCTAGATTATCCAGTTTTCTTGTTCTTTTATTTCTTAGAAACCTTCTTTTGAGTGACATTCTTGCCTTCCTTCCATTCTATGTGAGTTGATTCACTTTTCACTGGAGTCTCTCCTGCCTTCTCAAATATGAATTTCTTAGTTAGAACTGTATTAGTAAAGTAATCATTGGGGGCGAAGGTGAGTTTGACAGTGAAATTGTGACTGTTTTCTTCAAGATCTAATTCTACTTTAGTGAGTGATTTCAACACATCCCAATCCTTCTCATTGTCTTAACATACATCCGCTAAACACAATCAAAATGATATTTACCAATAACAACTGAATTTTTGAGTGCCTTGTACCAATAGTCATCGATGGGTTCAGCTGTGTTGTTCTCATTTACAAGTGCTTTTTCTGCTTCACTTAAGAATTTATCTGAACTAGATAGTTCAATATCAGTGGCAGCTCTTTATCCAAGAATCAATTCGTTTTACTTTAAGAAGAAATAGAATTTAAATTCTTACCTTCTAATAGAGAGGGAGATTCAAGTGATCATATTCAATAGTGAGTTTCTAAACTTGTTCTTCCAACTCCTCTTCGTATTGTTGTTTGCGTTTTAAGTGATAAAAGAGAGCGACTGCTTTGACTCTTTCAGCAACAGGTAGGCTTTTAATCTTAGTAATGACTTCTTCGATATTTGAGTTTTCGTGATCACTCATTAAAATTTATAATGAATTAACAAATACATTTCAAATTCATACTGCAATATCTGGAGTTTAGCTCGAAATTCGATCAACAACAATACGAATTATCAATCATGTTAAAGAGAGGAACACTTGCTGCATAAACTATTATAAGCAAAATGCAAATAAGAAATCCTGAACGAACTTCTAATATGTGTAGATTGCCAATCGATCAAATTGCAGAATTTCAGTAGAAGATGGTCAACAAAGATGGAGTCTATGTGGACTACAATGTACTTATTCAATCACTCTAATTTTTAGATTAAATTCTTGTTTTATTTGGGAGGCAACTAACTTGGAGATTGTATAATCAATTTGGCATACTTCCTCAATGGCGAAATAGATTCAGATTAAAAAGTCAAAAAGCCATTAACATCTACAACAGACAAACGAGCTGCTTTATTGTTTCGAGTCATGAGAGCCCCCTTTTAGTCCTAATTTGAAACTTAAGAATATCCCCAAGCCAATGTACCAATGCCAGCACCAACACATACTCCAATTTCTCAGTAAGTCCCATAGACTGCTAGAAATTCTAGTAGTCGTAAAATGGAATTGCAAACCAGAACAACCAGAGCAAGGAGTCAATCTCCTCCTAAAGAATTCAAGAGTGCGGTTCAAATTTCTAAAGCAGAAGAATAACCTTCATAAATTAAATAGCCATCAGATAATCTCACTCAAAAATTCTTGTAACTTGGCGAGAAGTTCTCATAAGAAAAACTATAGCAAGTTGCTCCTATTAATGAAGATAATGATAATTTCAGAGAAATCACTGAAATGCTTACTCAATAAGAAGAAGAGTTGTAGAAGCAGATTGAGCAATTAGACAATCATATTAAAATCGATTCTAAATTTAGGAAAACAAATTTTGATAATAATAATAACACTGCCAATTTTTCAAACGCAAACAGCAATAATTAAGAACTCTAATTTTTTAAGCAAAAATACAATGAACTTGATGATAAATACAATAAAGCATAAGAAGAAAACTAGCATTTGAAGAGAATTATAAGATAAAGTGGTGAGTAATTGAAGAAACAAAACCAACTCTCACAGTCAGGATACAAATAACTCGCTGACAGTGGTCTAAATCAATCTACAGTCTCTAATTAGGAGTAATTTGAAAGAACCATTGAAAAAAAAAATCAGATCATCAAAGATTTATCAAATTAATTATTAGAATTAGAAAAAAATTCTAATGCTGCTGTCATTGAACAATTACGCAACTAAATTACTAGAATAGAATAACAAACAATAGAAAAAGAGGAATAATGGCAGCTCTAAGAAAAAATATATAAAGAAAAGATTTTTCAATTGTTCTAAAACACAGAATGAATTTATAAATAACTGTATTTATATGTTAAGTATAATTTTGGATATCATTAAGAAATCTTACAATATGGGTGTTCTAAAATGTAATTATATTAATATATATCTAAAATTTCCGCATTTAAAGTCAATGCTAATGAGTTTGAAGAATATCTTTCATCATCAATGATTCATTCGCAAGAATACGTCATAGCTTTCATCATAATTTCATTATGCAAAAATATCAATAATAATATTATTACGAATTCAGGGATGTAATAATTGAATCAGAAATAAAAATACATTAAAAATATCACTTAATTTTTGATTTGAATAATTTTTATTTTACTTTATATCTCCTTTAAGTATAAACAATGTATTATTAAATTGTATTTAATGTAATGTATGATGTCATAAATTTGTTAAATATAAATGAGAATAAAATCAAAATTCGTTATTGTATGCACAACTTAAATAAGTATATGGATCTTAATAATAAGTAGGTGCGTACTCATCAGTGGGAACTTCACAACTTGTATATTCTTCTTTTATTGACTCCTCTTTTACTTCGTCTTTTTTTGAGAGACTCAAAAATTTATCATACGGCTATTCCTTCTACAGCTATTCTTTCAATTGCTCAATAGCTTGTACGTACATCTATTTAGTAGATTGATCTTTAATTTTGTTGTTGATTAGAACACAAACTTCAGCTTAAGTTCCTAAGAATTCTATCCATTTGTGTTGTGTTTCCAGCTGAATGATCTTTGTTCTAGGATTGATGGCACCAAAGAGTTTTTTAAGGTCTCCTAATTCAAATTTTTATTGTTTTGAAGTCTTCTTCTTGTGAATAGATCTCAAGTAGCCATCCACCTGTTTATATCCCATTTCTTCAGCCCAATGCATAAATTGGTTCATGAAGAATGGCACAATCCTACGTTGGAAATTATGTTGTTTCTTGACTGAGTATGGTACCTCACATTATTATTCTTGAGGTTTAATGGTGAGATGGGCATTAATGATGTCTAAAAGCTGTTCATCAATCTGCATAATGACTTTGCCATTGCATTTTTTAAGAATCTAAATATAAGGAGATACAATACCTAGTATGTGTATGCGTCTTACATTTTATTTGTATTAATGATTTGTAAAATTTGATAATTACAATTCATATTGCATTAATAATACAAATTTCAACATTTGTTGTGGAATATTCATTATTAATTAGTTTAATTATTTAATTAAACTTAATTAACTTTGCTAAAATCTACATACAACAACTTCTACTAATTGTGTTTGCTTGCGCATAAGATCAAATATTTTATTGAAAATGACCTAATGTATAAACCTACAGTCTATTTAATCGATTAATCTAAAAATGCTAGTTTCTCGATAATTTCAATGATGTGCAATCTGAAACTATAAATCCGTAAGAGTAGTAACTCTTAGGACTATAGATTTTATCATTTTATTTTAATCAAAGACAACATTTTTTTCTTGATAAACTGGAAAAATAAATAAATATTATAATGATTCTACATTAATCATATAGATATATACTTCAATTTTTAAGCTTGGATGTAAAGGTTATAATGTTCTTTGATGTATATAATCTAGTGAAGATTAACTCTTTAGACATTTCTAATTTTAAAATAAATAATAATAATTGATTGAATGAATAAAACATTCCAATAAAATTTCTTAGCAAATCAAGTTGCCATTGTAACAGGTGGTGCCACAGGAATTTGTTATGGCATCAGTTTGGCATATTTAAAATACGGATGCAAGGTTCTTATCACAAGTCGAAAAGAGGAAGTCTTAAAGCAATCGTGCACTACATTAGCATAAGAATCAGGCAATCAAAATGTTGCATATTTTCCTTGTGATGTGAGAAAATTCGAATAAGTGGAAGCAATGGTGTAATTTGCATTGGACAAATGGGGAAGAATTGATATTTTGGTCAATGGGGCAGCTGGAAACTTTTTGGTTCCTTTCGAAATGATGAGTGTAAATGCCTTCAGATCTGTAATGGAAATAGACACTTTTGGAACATTTCATGTAATTCTTGTTCAGATATGTAGTGTTGTAAAGCAGTGGTTGGAAAATGGATGTCAAAAAATGGAGGTGTTATTATTAATATTAGTACTACTCTTCCTCATTGTGGAGTAGCACTTCAATCACATGCTGGAACAGCCAAAGCAGGAATAGATGCACTTACTAGACATCTTGCTGTTGAATTGGGACCAAAGAAAATTAGAGTGGTGGGTATAGCCCCAGGAGCTATTGAGAAATCTGAAGGATTTAAAAGATTGAGAATGGATGATAGTGTAATTAGTGTTCCATATTATTTAGTCTGGTTTTGGAGAGGATTTCGAAAAATTGTTGCCATTATAGAGGGCAGGAAACAATGATGATATTGCTCCTTGGGCTCTCTTTTTGGCTTCAGAAATGTGCAAGTTACATCACTGGATAAACAATTATAGTTGATGGAGGAGCAGTTAATACATTTCCTAATTTTACTCTTTCTAAGTAAAAAGGCAAGAGACATGTTAAAACCAAAATTATGATAATTAGATCTGGTTGTCATATATAATATAAATTTTTAATATTCAAATATAAAAGAGAGTGATTAAATTAAATAATAATCCATTGATATAATATATCATTTTTGTTGTTAAATCAATTCTAGTATCTTCTACCATTCTATTAAGTTCTCATATTTAAGAGTATTATATTCTACATTAAAGTCCTATCAAGACTTATATCTATTTAAAAGTTTTAATTTTTATTTATTTAATAATTAATTTATTCAACAACACACTCTTTTTAGAAGTGATAGAACTTCAATTTAAATGATTAATCAGTATGGATTTAAAAAAATGATATATTTTATTTTCTTCAATTAGACTAATTACAGGTAGGAATGCTTTCCAAATAGATCTGAGGTGGTCGTTTCCATTTGAATGGACTTCTGCTGTAATTAGATACTTGATCCACTCAATATATATAATTATCATGATTGTTATTGTAATATTTCAACATATGTGACAATCTGGTTTCAAGAAGCTTATTCAATTAATGTGGTTGTTCACTTACGCTTACACTTAATCTAAATCTTTAATTGTTTTATTTAAGACATTCTAAATTCTTATTAAATCTCCTTCTCTCTTTTACATACTCGCTCTTCTCCTTGTACTCCTAAGTATAGATCTTTTATTTAAATTGCAATGACTTGTTTTTTTACTACTTGTTGGTGAAATCCAAAGCAGCATTAGGCATAAACTTGGTTTTGTTCTTCAATGGAGCCAATTCAATAGTATTTAGTTATGTCTTTGGTTTCTTTATACTGACTACAGTGAAAGGAACTTCCTGAGTAGAAATAGAACGACGATGTGTATGGTCTATGGTATTGTAATTTTATTTGTTGATTTCTCTCACTATGGATTTCTTTAATTGTTCTATTGCGCTGACAGGATTATTGATGCCTACTACTAATTCCTTTATTAATTACATTTATTAATTAACGAATAAATATATGTTTGTTTCACAATCCAAGGTCTTAGAATGTAAGTCAATCATCTTATCATCAGAATGCCTAGTGGACATCACAAAGCAAGTTTTGGGAGAGCAGATCGATCGAGAAAACAGAGGAGCCGTTCTTAATAGAATCAAGGAGATCACATTGGAGACATTCCAAAGACATTACTCGGAAGAGATACTTTTGTTGTAATAGGAATTACGTTAACAATCCCAAGCCATTGATCGAGTCAAGAGGGAGTATTAGGATAGAGAACAACAATTGATTATGGATGTAGAACACAAATTGCATGAGCAATAGATACTACAAGTATAGGAGATCAAGGGTCTTCAATAAATATGCGATGAATAGAGTGATTAAAACAATAAACATCTAATAACCATAGAGAAACTGAATAAGTAAATTAGGGAATCCAATCTCACAAATTAACAATTAAATTTAGAACTGCAACAACTCAAGGACAATCAATAATCTATTGATCTTTAATCGAGGTATTTTTCCCAGGAAGGATAAGAATATAAGTAAAAGGTAGAATAAATGTAATCAGCCTATTCCGGCCTGGATTAATAGTTCAAGACTTTAAAATTAGAATCTGACAAGCAGTTGAAGGATTATTAAAGAAAATTGTAATCAATAACAGATTCACATATCCTATAAGAGAGTGAACTTTCCAATTTGAAATTAGAAAATGAATAGCTAAAAATTAAAAAGTAATAGGAAGCATAAAAGTAGAAAGAGGCTTTGGAGCAATTAAAGGAAAAAAGCTAAGCCAAGATAAAAGAATATAAATAGAAATTGAAAGATCTGCAGAATAAGGATTCTTATATAGTTGAACTTTAGGAGCAAATCAAAGAACTTGAGCAATAAATTGAATTCTAATCTACTCAACACAAATAAGCAGTCAAAATGTTGGAATAGCAATATAAGAAATAATATACTAGATTGGAAGAAAGTTTAGAACAAGAAAAGTCAGAATTGTAGTAATAATTGCATTAGAGTTTGAAATCAAGTGTTTCTGAAAAAGATAGAGAAATTGCAGGGTTGAATTAGGACATAAAACAATTAAAAATGTAATTTTAAAATGATTAAGAACTGAAATAAAAAAACAATTCGAAATTTGAAGAACTCATTCAAACATTCAAAAAATAACTAGAAGAATCATAATAATAAAATACTGAGTTGATTTAAAAGAATAAAACGTTGGAATAAGAAATAAGTAAGAAAGATTAAAATCTTAAATTGTTATTATCTGATGTTGATGATTTGAAGTAGTTCTCAGAGTAAACTTTGACTACTTTGAAAGAGAATTAAGATTATATGAATGAAATTGAGAGAGAAAAATAGTAGCAGTAAGAAATCATTCTATCTATTCAACACTAATTAGAAATAGAGATTTAAGGATCATTCTCATATTAAAGATTAGGACAAGAATTAGAATAAAGATGTAAATTGTATAAAGAAGAACATTGTCAAATATTAGATGAATAATTGAAAAAGGAAGCATAGTACTAATAGGAAATACAATAGTTAGATTCCAGGTTCAAACAAGAAATAGACAATCTAAATAAAGAGCATTAAATAATAGTGGAAAATTTTGAAAGCTAGATGAAGAAAGTCAAATTGGAAAATAAACTACAAATTGAAGAGTAAATCAGAGCTTACAATTAAATACAAAAGGAATTATACTAAAAAAGCTAATAGTATGAGAATCTGGAAAAATAGAATATCAATTTGGTTAACGAACTAGAGCAATATATATCCCAATACACTTATAATTTGTAATAATTGGAAGATTAAAAAGTGAAGGAGAAGAATTTAGTAGAATCTTCAAATAAAAACCTAAATTCTTGGAATACAGAAAAACATTAGTTAGTTATGTAAATTGATGAGTTGAAATTTAAATACAGATCTATGAAATAGAAGATTGTCAGATTATTCATTAGGTAGAAAGAGTAATTAAATTTATAACTACTTGAGATGAAATCTATAATTATGAATAAATTAAAGAATTATGACTCTGAAAATAGACAACTAATATAGAATTCAGTTAAAAAATTCAATCATGTATGTAATCATAATAATAATTTAGTTAATTGATTAAAGTGTCTCATAGGAAAAGAGGGAGAATGAATTTCTAGTAATTGAATTATAAAAGGAAATGGATAAGAAGGTTGAATAATTAAAACGACAATTTAAATAAAATGAATAATTAATACAAGAAGAGGCTCAAATTAAATTTAAATAAAAATTATAATAGATCTAATAACACGATTATTCTATCGATGACCTCAAGAACTAGTTGAATTACTATATTTAAGAGAATGACCATTTATCACAGAAACTTTAAGTGTAAGATTAACTTAACAGAGAATAATAGAAAAAAGCTGAATATGAATCAAGATAACTCACTCAGACAATTAAAGAATTAGAAAACGAATTGTATACACTATTTTCATCTATTTTAGAAGTTCAATTCAATAATCAGCTGATTACACTTTGAAAGAGAGACAATTCCTTGAATTAAGGTACAATGAACTTAAAGATAAATCCGAAAAGAAAATGGATCAAATCTAAAGAGATTATCAATAGTAAATATAACAACTTGAAACGATAATCCAACCAGTTTAACAACGAGCTCTGTCTCCTCCTTTACATTAACATACTTAATCATCAAGTTCAGGTTTCCATCGCTCTCCTGCTGTATAACCAAACCTATCATCTGCTAAACGTATTGTTTGTCTTTATCTCAGATCCATATTCAAAGCCACCATAATACAGCAGCCCATCTATAAGAACACCACATAAGTCTCCCTCAAATGATAGAACTGATAAAACCATTGAAGAATTGAGAGCTGAGATTTAATAACAAAAAGAGAAGCTTTCAAGAATGAAACTCAATTTTACAGAATCTCAAAAAAAATCTAAAACATTATCAAAGTTTTGATAAACTATATTATATAAATAATTATATTATTATAATTTTATGACTTAGTAGAGTAGATTAATTTCTTAAATCAGTACTATCACAATGTTAAATTTAAAATATTATTATTCAACATATAATGTTCAAGTAACTAGATACTTGAATTTAATAGAATAAAATTATTGATTAATATTTCTTTTTAAGATAACACAATGTTTAATATGTATATATATATTTGACCACTACTAGAACTCCCAAAATCAAACATATTGCAGAAATAGGAAGTTATTTAACAATTAACATAATATTGCTAGTGTATTATGTATCTCTAGATGAATCTCATAACACAAACCTAACTAAATATAAGTATCTCTCAATAGCTGGTAATATCATTCAGATGATTGGATATCTACTTATATTATCCTCACTTTTCAAATACCTTCCTCATGTTATTATAGGAAATATAGCAATTGTTAATTTGGGAATGCTTTCAATGATATTAGGATTGGGCTTAGTGGCACAATAATATGATGTGCAGAATGAACATTTTATAAGCGCAATCAGTTGCTGGTTTATATAATTGCCAATCTGTATTTTAGGAATGCTAGTACTTTTAAAAATCTGTTAGGAGAATTCGAAGAAAGAAGTTGTCAATAAGAAGTCACAACATGGTTATGTTGCAAATGATGACTCTATATCTTAAATTCATATAAGAACCATGCAAAATTGATTTGAATTTATATCAATCTAAATATATGATATTATCTACTTAAGTATTAATTAATCAAGTAATAATATATCACTGATATCTCTTTAAGACCCCTTTGATAATAAAACTATTTCTTCTGGGGGAATTCTTTTTTAGAGGAGTAAAGGATCTGTTGAGTTTCTTTTACTTTTGAGCTCCATTGTGTTATTTTGGATTTTCAATAGAGGGTAGTCTAAATTAGGTTCGAGGTAGAAACTAAGGTACTTCAAAGTATTCTTATTCGAATGAGATCTTCATCCATTCATGATTGAGAATATCATAGAGTTTGATTCTTTTTTGAGGATCAATAAAGAAAATCCTTGACAATAGATCAATTAGATAAGGAGAGACATTCTTCTTTGAAAATGTGTAATTGCTGGCCGTAATGTTTTGAATGATATCAAAATTGGATTCCCCATCAAATGGATACTTACCGAAGATAAGATGAAAGAGTATGACCCCCATAGCCCAAACATCAATATGCGGTCCAATCTTTTGGTTGTTTCCTTAGAGAGTTTCTGGAGCCATGTATCTGATGGTTCCGATGTTCAATTTATCCATATTACTGTTGACAGCCATGCCAGCAATGCCAAAATCAACTATTTTAATTAAGGTATCATTCTTATTAGCAAACATGAGATTTTCAAGTTTGAGATCCCTATGAATAAGTTTGCGATTATGACAATACATCATGGCATCACATATCTACCTGAAATACATTCGTGCCTCTTCTTCGCATAGTTAACCCTTAGCTTCATTAAGTAAGTTAAAATACCTTGAGTATACTTAGAGAGATCTCCTCCTTCCAAATACTCCATTACAACAATGACCTACATGTTGGAGAGAGGGTAGCAGTTGTAAAATTTGACTATATTTTTATGATTAAGTGATTTCAGTAAGTACGCTTCACGAAAAACCAAATCAATGTCATTTGCATCTCTGTTTCTAGTATTCACATATTTAATCGCTACAAAATTGAATGTTTCCTTGTGTTTCCCCAATAGCACTTTGCCAAATCCTCCCTTGCCCAACTATTCTATTATCTCATACTCTTGATGGATGATATTGGCATCAAAATCCTCTCCTCTTGTAATATACAATTTTGTATTGTCTTTCAAGTAAATTAAATCCTCATTGAACAGTTCCACTCCATCCTAAGTGAATACTCGAAAGTGTCTAAGACTAATTTGATGTTTCTATTCACATAGTGATCTCAATTCTTTGAGTGAAGTTTCACCATAAATGGAAACTTAAAACTTACGATCACTACCCAGCAAAGTGATATTGAGAGTTTTAGTGTTAGAATGTTCATTATACTCGTGAAACATTATAAGAGAGTCTATTTGTAATAGATATTTTATGTATTATAATTATAATATCATACATACACATACAGCCTAATACTAATTAGAATAAGTTTTGTTCTTAGTCAATTGCTAAACAACAATTAACTTTTAGCTCTTCCTGATCTTTACTTTAATACTATTTTAATAGGCTTGGCAGTCACATTTCCAACATTAGATTTTGATTCCTCCTTTTATATCGAACTCTTTCTGCAACTCTACAACATAATTTATTTTGGTTTCTTGGTTGTGACTGTTAGAGGAGTAGTGACTTAGAGCATCTTCAACAAGCTCAATGCAGGAAGAGTGTGACTCTCACTCAACCATCGATGATTCAAAATTCCTTAGACTGTGATCCTGTTCCGATATTGGAATATCTATTTGAACAAATCTAATAAATCATTGCTCACCTTCTGAGGAATAGTATATTTAAATATGTTGATTGCTTAAATGATTTCTTCCTTTGTTGACCCTCTAAATGGTAGTTTCCCAAAGACCATTGCATACAAGATCACTCCTATTGCCCAGACATCAGAAAGTTAAGTAGCTGGGAATCCAGATATCAATTCAGGAGACATGTATGGCAAAGTGCCCATTCGAATCCGATCCTTACCAACACATGCAATTCCAAAATCTACAATTTTTATCTATCTATAATGCATAGTGTAATTACTTAATTACTATTTGGATATACAAGCAAGATATTCTCTAACTTTAAATCCCTATGGATCAAGTTTTTCTTATGACAGTAATCTATTCCCTCTAAGATCTATTTCATGTAAATCTTAGCCTCGATCTCCTCCAAAGTTCCTTTCCTTCTCACCAAATCTAAGAGAGAACCTCCTTAGAGATGTTCCATAACCAATATACATTCATGATTTAACATAATATTCTGAATCAAATGAACTATGTTCCTATGACTCAATTATTTGAGTATTTGCGATTCCCTAAACAACAGATCTATTTCATCAGCATTGAATCCATCTCCTTTTATTATCTTAATGGCTACGTACACTTTGGTCTCCTTATGCTGTCCTAGCATCACAATACCTTGTCCTCCTTATCCAATTTAATCTATAATAGTATATTCTTGAAAGATAATGTTTTAATCAAGTTCCTATCCATTCAATGTTGCCCATAACTTTGATTGCTTAGGTTAAAATCTCAGATCCTCTTAGAAGATTTCGATTCCACTCGCATTGAATAATCGCAACTCTTTTGGACTTATTCTCCAGGTTGAATGAATCTGTCTTGAAATATCCTTTGTAGTCGAATATTCATTGATTATAACCTAAAATGGTGGATAGTTTGGATGACAGATAGTAATCGTTTTATACTGTTTCGAGATGTGATCAACCATATTGTAATAATAATAATAAATGGATTAATCTCAAGCTCAACACATTTGGAAGATGCTTGATGATATGGCTGCCTCTGATCCACAAGCATATAAATAATTTGTTGAGAAAAACATTCAAGCAGGAATGGAAGACATGAAAAATGAGAAGCAGTAAAAAATAGAAGAATTATCTATTACACCTCAATTTGCTTATTCCATGAAAATTTGGGGCAATCTCCTTAAACAATAAATCAATGAATTAGAAAGCAAGCTATTATTAAAATAAAATGAACTCAAATAAGAGAATTTCCAATTTGACAAATTAGAAAAAAGAACCAAATTTTACATTAATCTCCTACATCATGAAAGAGTATTGGGAGCATTTGATAAGAATGATAATCCAACAGACAATCCATCATAATACAATTTAATTCCTCTTTCTATATCTGACATTTAGATTGGAAAGTCAGCATCCTTCAATACTTAAGTTTACTATTATGACATTGTGATCAATACTGATGTGTTTAAGAAAGTATGAACATTTTTATTCATTGATTAGATAAATCGTCAAATTCTGCAGTCAATCATTATTGATACATTACAGAAAAGAATCGAAGGAGATAAAAACCCTGTTAAATTTACATTCTTTAAGGCCTACTATAAATTTGAAATCCCCTCTCTTAAAATCATTAGCAAATAATACAAATATTGTGGACCAAAGAAACAAATAAAATTACTTCTAGAACCCTAAGCTGATAAAGAAGGAAAACGATTCCCAAAAACCTAGAATCCCATAGAAAATAAAATTGAATAGAATCTAAGCTTCACTAGATAGTAGGGACCTTTGGATAATTTAATATTAAATACTTAAAATTAAACACAGCAGGGGCCACAAAAAAAAGTCTTGATTGAAGAGATTGATACTAAAAATGAGGTAGAGAAATATTAGGTTGTTCACGAGAAGGATAAAGTTATAATAACTATTAATGTGAATGTCGAAAACTTTTAGGATATCGATCTCAATATCTCAAGTCAAGGATTGAAATTGACAACTGTGATGAATGAAAAGGTAGAGTTAGATTTTGGATGTAAAGTTGATGATGAGCATCCATCAGCTAAATGGAACAAAAAATAGAAATAATTGAAAATAGTTGTAAATAAAATATTATGAATTCTATTATCATCATCCTGCAATTACTTAAGAACATAACTATAAATGAATCTCTTGCTTTTAAGTAGTACATTTGATATCTCCTATGACATCTAGTGGATTAGGAACCATTGATTCACACATCAAAATCTAAAATATTCTAAAATGCGCTATTACTATTTTTTGATTGCAATATTTTTCCAAATCTGACTTGATATTAGCTATAGTTGTGGTGCCAGGCAATCGCAGTTGTAAAATACGAGATTACTCGTCAATTTTAGTATTTTTCTCATTTGCCAATTCCTATAATGCCTTAATGAATTGCTATCTATCCTATTGAGCAGTGGAATTGTATATTTAGAGATTGACTGTGATCTCCTCTCCTCTCACTAATGAAAAGAAAGAAGGGTACATGTATTTTTAAGTAAAGCTTCTTGATATTAATGCATTAAATTAATTATAATATAGTTCATATATTTATTTCGATTCTCAATTCAAACAAGTCTTTGATTTCATCGATTAATTATTCGTTATGCTTTTGGATGGTTTGATCCTCTCGTCATTCATATTCTAGGGTGTATCACGGTTGCACAGTCTCATTCTATAGCGAGATTGAATCGGAATCTGTAAGTATGTCTATAATATATAAAAATCAGATAATAATTTAAATAGTTTAAAAAATAATGGACGAAAAAACCACAGCAGATGGGTAAAAATTAGCAATAAATCTAGTTCTGAGTAGGTAGTGATCTTTGAAGAAAAAATCACTAAAGTTAATGGGGAAGTGGCAATAAAAAGATACTAAAGAGGGAAGTTCTTAGGAAAGGGTGGTTTTGCCAAGTGTTACGAAGCAACAAATTTGGAGACAAAGAAAGTTTTGGCTGCCAAGATAATAGCTAAAAGCAGTTTAACTAAGAACAGAGCTCGTTAAAAGGTAATTATGTATGATGTAATCAATTAGCTTATTTCAGAAATAAAAATACACAAGAGTTTGCAAAATACAAACATTGTGCAATTCGAGCATGTCTTTGAGGATCACGAAAATGTATACATTTTATTAGAGTTATGTTCCAATCAAGTAAGCATCATCCATTTAAATTAGACTCTAAATGAATTAATAAAACGACGCAAAAGACTAACAGAAATAGAAGTGCAATGCTATGTTGCATAGATAATCAACGCACTCAAATACCTACACGCCAGTAATGTGATTCATAGAGAGTAACTTGACATATATTTTAAGTCTCAAATTAGGAAATCTGTTCCTCAATAAGTCGATGGAACTGAAATTGGGAGATTTTGGTTTGGCAACAAAGTTGGAATTCGACGGAGAGAAGAAAAGAACTATTTGTGGAACACCCAATTACATAGCCCCAGAAGTTTTGGATGGAAAAGTTGGTCACTCCTTTGAAGTGGACGTCTGGTCATTGGGAGTTATAATCTACGCCATGTTAATTGGAAAACCTCCCTTTGAAACCCCAGACGTCAAAACTACATATAGGAAAATCAGATTGAATTCATATACTTTTCCAGAACATGTCCTCATATCTGATGCAGCCAAGAATCTCATCACAAGAATTCTGAACTTGGATCCAGTTAAAAGACCCACTTTGGATGAGATAATGGCTCACCCATTCATGAACACAGGTGGATCTATACCAAAGACACTCCCCCTATCTACTCTTGCTTGTCCTCCTTCAGCCTCTTATAATAAACAATTCCAACCATCCACCAATTCAAGTAGTCTGAAAATGTCAGTAAATGCTATGCCTCAAAGATTGACTGAGACTACTCCAAACAATTAGAAAAATCAGCAAAGACCAGGCAATGGCTCATCTGATCGTTTCCCATGTATTCATTACTCATTATCCTTTTAGTGTAGAAACCTAGCTCAAGTGGGAATATCTTAGAAGACAACTTCGGATCCAGTGGATTGAACAATGCACAAAATGTTGGTTATGGTGGCTCACAAAGACCTCAATCCCAAAAACCCAATGACATCAGAAGTAGTCAAAGTTAAAAGGCACTCAACACTCCTTTTGGTGCCACTGGAATGCAAGCCACTCATTCAGTCAATAATCTTGGCTAAAAATCACCTCAACAAAAATAAGAAATCTATGTGAAAAAGTGGGTTGACTATTCCAGCAAATATGGATTGGGATATCTATTAAGCAATGGGGCCACAGGAGTCTTCTTCAATGATTCTACCAAAATCATATTGGATACCAGATCACTGCAATTTGAGTACATGGAAAGAAGAGGAACTGACAAATAGGATATTTGCGAATCCCATAATTTAAATGACTATCCTAGAGATCTCTAAAAGAAAGTTACCTTACTACAACATTTTAGAAGCTATCTTGAAGGAGAATAAAATAAACAGGATATGGCATTTGAAGAATATGATAGTAAACAATTAGTCTATGTTAAAAAGTGGATGAAAACAAGACATGCTATCATGTTTAGATTGTCCAACAAAATTGTCTAAGTATTCAATTATCCACATGTTTAGGTTAATTTCACTGACAAAACGGAGATTATCTTGTCATCAGAACATAAGATGGTTACATACGTAAACAAAACCGGAGAAAGAAGTTATTATCCTTTAGCTACTGCTCTTGATAGTTAAAATACTGAAATGGCAAAAAGACTAAAGGTAATCATTTTTAAATACCTCCTTTAAGTATACTAAAGAAATCTTGACTCACATGCTCAATGGTGGTCATACTGGAGATCAAAAACCTAACTAAATGACTGGAACCAATTGGTAAAATTCTGGACCTTGAAAAGATTATTTAACATCAAAAAAATAAGTGCATTTAAAAAAAATTTACTTTTATAAAGATATTTTGTTCATTTTTTTACAGGTCTATATATTCAATATATACTAAAATTAATATAAATAAATTAATCAATCTCTCTAGTGATACAGATCAGATCATAATTTGATAGGTTTTTAATATTTTATCCCAAATAACCAAATATAATTCGTTTTTCTCTGGGATGTATAGTGAGTTACCAAATATAGAAGAACTTGAAAATTCCATAATCTTCTGAGTTGTTTCATATAATCCATCTAATTCCTATCTTATAGTATAGATATAGTTTCTATTCTTTATAAATATAAGATTTTTATTTTCTATTTAAATAATAGGAAATCCAGGTTAATCAAGATTCTTTTTATCATCCTCAGACTAATACTTTATTTATAACTATTCCTTTACTTATTCCTAAAATGGATTGTCACTTCCTGTTTTTTTATAGAAACTAATTATATTTTTCTTATGTGTGATGAGATCTGTAACCAAAATAAATAAATCATTTTTAATAAAAGATATTGTATTACTATATTCCTATAAATTTATTTTAAGACTCTACTTAATTATCCATTTTTTTTCTCCTTTAAACCAAATATTTATCAATTTATCTGCACTATATGATATCAAGTATGTTTCAGAGTCATTTAAGCTTAAACTCAAAACTTTTTCTTTATGTTCTATTAAAGAGTATTCATACTTTACGGAATATGTTTCAAAATTGAGATGATAAACTTGTATCTGTTTTCCTCCACTAAATAATTAAGTCTCATTTTTATTGATTATTAAACAATTAATATAGCCATTTTATTTTTCAATAACTAGTTATTGACACACATCTATCTTATCACAATATTTCCAAATGACAAGCTACTCATCCGCAGTAACAAATGAATTGTATTATTTACTGTGGATCATACAAGTTATGGATAACTCATTATGCTGTTTATGAACTTATAATTTTTTTTCCCAAGATAGTTACTTTAGTTGATTTTCCTAATTTGGATATTTTAGTTGATATATATTGATTTTGTTGCCTTAATTAGTAACCATTAGTTATTTAGAAGAATTAATTGCTATTACAGTACAATTCTCGTTTTCACATTAAGATACTAGCTTCCATTAAACAGGTCCATATAGAGCCAGATCAAAATTCACATCATATAAAAAATTAGATTTATCATCCAAAAATGGTGAATTTTTTTTAATTTACTCTTTCAAAATTGTATCTATTTGAATTATTGGATTAGAATGAGTAATAATTTAATTTTCTTATCTGTTTTAATCAAATCTTAAATTATTTAAATTATTAAATTATAAGATACTTGAGATCATGATTTCAATCTTCAAGTCTCGTTCAATTATTTTTAGCTCTTCTATTTCTTTGAATTGTTTTTACAATTCTATTGATCCAGTTTAAACTAAATTATTTATTCCTTTATTGTAAAAAGAATTTATTTAAACTTAATTTTTTATTTGGATCTCAATATTTTGTTTAATTTTCTCTTTCAAAAATTGGTTGAATTTTTCCAATCCTCCTTCCTTCTTCTTCAGAAATTTTGACCAATTTTGACCAAAAGTTTCCAAAGACTCCTCCCCATATTTATTTTCGCAACTGTTACATAATATTCCTATTGGATTTTGCAAATTTTGATAGTACACTCTATTTATTGTTTCTTAATGCAAAGGGCATGTTTTATCATTTAATGCTTTTATTATATCAGAAGGTTTCGTTTCAATCTTTTGTTCAATCGAAAATAAAGCATCTACTAAGAGTTTGTAGCTTTCTTGTAATTTCGATGCATTTGCAAAATTTTGAATGGCAATTATAAATTAATTGCAATACTAAAAATTCCAATATTTGATTCGGCGTTTAAACATCAGAACTTCCATTTGCTCCTATATATAATTTGGAAATAAAAGAGAATCAATTTCATCAGAAAAATTACTATTTTGATGATCATTTTTAATTTTCTCAATTATTTTAATCCACTAATTTACCCAATAGACTAAGTTATCTATTTTATTCATGAGATCATCTTTATACGAATTTAGTAACTATAATAATATTTTAATGGATTTAATCTGCTAATCAGCAATTGTCTTTCTTTATATCTCTTTTAGCTCGTTTTTTTGATGCACTTCTCCTAATAAATTCTAATAACTTTTTGAATTTTCGCTTCCTTTATAACTGTGATAACAACGGTCACACAATAATCTTTAGTTATCCAGTATTCTTTTATTTACTAGAACAAGAGTAACTGGATTATTTTTGCATATTTAGCATTTTATACCTCCCTTATTTTCTTCAGAATCTTTCATTTAATATAATAATTAATCAATCTTAATTATAAACTTATATATATAATTTAGCATAGTTTGCGTAGAGAATAATTAAAAAATATAATTAAGAATGATATCAAATTAATTGTAATCATAATAATTATAAAATGAAGAAATCAATAATAAGACCAATTAATCAATTAAATTCTCCCTCTATTTCTCATTATAGATCACAAACTAGTGGATCGGGAGTAATTGATCAATCTAGGATTCTGGAGGAAACAAGTGAGCGGTTTTAGAGAACTTGGAATATTTTGGAGAGCGTGGAAGAATTAAAGAGTGTGCGTGAGATAGTGAAGTAGGTCAATACCGAGCCAAGTGTACAATGTGAATGTCAATTGGGAGGGACGATAATATCTGGGAAGGTTTACAAGGTAGCTCCTATGGAGTTTTATTATTGCAATATTGGGACTCGAGGTTAGAAATCGCCTTTGAATTGTTCGATGTTTTGTGATGGTGAGTTTTAGATAATGATTTCATTTAATTCACCTTATCCAACCAAATTCAATTGTGATCAAGTCATTCGAAGTAGACAATGGGCTGTGAGACATAATGGAGAAGATAAATTAAATTTGGCAGTGGTTGCAAGAAAATAAACAGATATAAAATTCATGGTTCATTTCGGATAGGCAGATTCATTTCGCAAATTGGTTCGTATGACAAGTAATCATGATAGAATTCCAATGAGTGAGATACCAAGGACTCCTTAATTCATAGTGAATCAGAATAAAGTTTTGGCAGTCAAAAAAGTGAACAAATTCGAGATTGAAGTTAGTCGATCAGATCGTTTCTTGTAGGTATTGAAAACAAGGAATTTGCAAAAGAAGTCTATGTTGGAAGCAAGCTAAATGAAGAGTCTTGAATTTAAGGCCAAGGAATGGGCACATGATGAATACAAGTTGATAACATCAGCCTTAAGAAACAGGGATAGGAGAAGAGAATAGAAATACCTTTGGTTTGAATTACTTTATTATATCAAGCTTGTAGACAAATTGTAGACTTGGTTATAATAGAGGAGAAAGTAATTGATGAAGAATAAGATGATGGTGATAGGTTTACAGCTGAGAATCAAGACATTTAGAGAGAAACAATAGAAGGAGAGAGGAGACATTCTGCATAGAGTAGTTGGAGACACTGTGTTATCTTTGATGATGTATTGTAAGTAGGCAAGGAGACGATTGATTCACAATTCTTTGGGTTCTGTAATGCCTTTGTTGAAGTGGAGAGCTTCGTTGTACATGTTCAAGAAGAAAGCTATGATAACGAGTGGGAAGTTGCAGTTAATCAAGTTGAATCTTAATCAATTTGTAAGGAATGTGAGAGAATACAAGGCTAAGATGATTCAAAAATGGGATCAATACACTTTGAAGGTGCACTCCATTCCGTCTCTATAAAAAATGGATAAGAGATTCATCACTTGGATCAAGTATCTTTATGAGAAGGGATATCAAGCGTACTTTTAGAATTAGTTTATCACTTTGTTGATGAGGGATCGTTATCGGTCTCACATTAGGGAGTAGAGGGAGATCAAGAAATTCAGATTGGAATTGAAGGCTGCCAAATTGTAATTGAGGTTTTCTAGAGACACATTGGAAATTGTTACTTTGAGACAGAGAATCTTCAAGTTGAACAATGATATATTTGCTATGCAAGTGAAGAATTAATTCTTCATTCATTCAGATGTGGAAAGATTTGTAAGTTCGATTCTAGAGTAGAGCTCGTTTATCTTTCTAGATGAGGATTCAAATCAATTAAATTAAGAGAAGCAATCCCGCATTAGAGTGAGTTTGAAAAGATAGAAGACAATGAGAATCTCAAAGAATCTCTGAATTGTTTATGTTAATTTTGTTATTATTTATAAATGTCTCGAGCGATATTTGATAAAAATGAGATTGCCTTTCAAAGTTTACTAGATGAATTTAACACTGCCTATTAACGATACTCTCTCACCTAATCTAAGGAGGCCACTTTGGAGATATTGAAAACCAAACTGAAATAAGCAGAGGATAAAGTAAGCATGGATATATCTATAATTTAAGTTAAATTTGATGAAACTTGAATTCAAGCATTGTTAATCAACTTTGAAGGCTGAATTAGAAACAAAATTAAAATAGCACTTAGGAAATTTCTCAACTGCCTAAAAGAATCTGATATCCATTGAATAAGCAAAATCCATTGAATAGTCTCAGCCATCATTAAATTTGGACAACAGAAGGAGATAAGAAAAGAATACAAATGAACTAGAAACGCAAACTAATCAATTATAGGATTGCCATAAAGTATTAGTCGAAACTGAAGACTTGCAAGTAGGATTAATGAAGGGTCTCGATGACCAAAAGAAGAAATTGTTGATAGGCATTGAAGGGGTATAATAATTAGTTGATTTATTAAGACAGATGATATTAGAAAAGGCGTCAAAGAGACTGGGAGAAATGTGAGAGATATGGAGAACAGAGAGCTCTTTAGTAAAGCATTGAAATTGGGATTGATTGGAGTGTTGACACTAGGAAATTTAATGTTGATATACTATAAAATATGATTAATTAATTAATGGATTCAAACATGTTTCGATAATATGATATTTTCTTCACTTAAAATTTGATGAACTCAAAAACCTCGATAAAAAACTCTCCAAGACTTAGAGGAAACAACTCACATTGGAGAAGATGAAACCAATTCATGTTTAGGCTGAATAACAAGTAATCTACACGATCAATGTCTTTCGTAGTTCAAATTTATCGGAAAAGAATATGGTTCATTTAATCCTAGGAATAAACAGGAATTTGTATTGAAGTTGAGATAAATAAGATGCTTTACACAGAATGACAAAAGAGGTTGAGGCTCAATTACATATTGACAAGCAACAGTAAACCCACTTTAGCAAAATTGTCAAAACAACATAACCATCTCAGATCAGTGGGTTGAATTTTGATTGGATTCGTAAATGAAGGAATTAAATCATCTTAATTCACGATTACTTGAAGCAGAAGACACTTAAATAGGTATCCTGTATATTCTTCTGAATTAAAAAAGCAGAAACTACTAAGAGATATTGAAGATGTAAGAGAGTTACTAATTTAGACCGAGGAGATCTAGAGTAGAGTGAAGATAACTTAACAACGTGCAACTATGATTAAGAATAGGGAATCGTATAAGAAAGGGATATTGATGACTTTGGTTTGAATATTAACAATTGGAAAAGTACTTATTCTATACTATAAATTTGTTCATTGAAAGTACATGAATTAAATATTATATTTATGATATTAAGCACAATTTTCATTTTATTTTATATCAATCAAGCTCTTGCGATATGTTCAGGTATATTAAAAAAATGAAATAAGCAGATGATATCCCCTACTTTACAACCAGAAACCTCAAACCAACCTAATCCGTATGTGACAACACAATGGAGTTCAATCTATCCTTTGCAGATTACCCACTCACCATTGAAATTGCCAAACATCTATAGACAATCTATACAATTGCTCCCATTTCAACACTCTCAGCATCTGATATGCAAGGCAAACTGAATGGTATTAGTTCTAAAAATATCTTTTAAAGCCTACACTGCAACTAGTTTTGAGTTTAGATCCCCATCTGAACACCAAATAGAGGGAACTCAATATGATTTGGAGATGCTAATTCATCATCAATTGCAAGATGGCTTAATTTCTAATTCGCAAATGGCCATAGTATCTATCCTTTTCAAAATTGATAAAAAGAAATCACAACCATTTTTTGATGATTACTATTTCAAGATCTTGAAATATCAGAACACTACGACTCTGACCATCAATTTTCACAATTCCCTTGGCTCATAGATCCCCTTGGACTCAACATTCTATACTTATATGGGTACTTTCAATTCTCATCTTTTGGATTGCGAACAGTTGGTACAATGGTATGTAGTAGATACTCCACTTCCTATTTCTTAATAACAAGTTGCTCACTTCAATTATTTCTTCCGTAGCAATTAAACCAACAACACTCAGGAAAAAACAACTGAAGTGATTGACTTATTAAAATTGAAAGGAAAATACTGTGAAAGCTATTTGGCCAAAGATTTTGGTTTGTTCTTGGCATATTGTGCTATGATTTTCATAATTTATAAATCAATTTGACATTTATATATTTTTAATTGAAATTAAATCAGTACTTTAAGAGATGCATAGTATTTGAAATTCCGTATATGTTCATTATTGATTTCTTGAATTTCCTTGGACTTGCATAATTGGATGCAGGTTAAGTAGTTGTCTTCTAAGGTGACAGCATCTCCAATTGACTCCAATTTCTATGGACCTTTTTTGGAAAAAGAGGTTGATCGATTGTAATCGATTTATTGAATTGGAATAATTTGGTATGCACTTTAGCCTTAGGAGATGGCAAAGGAGGCACAGAAATTTTCTTCGGCTGATTGATCAAATCAACTTATTAAACAGTTACTTTTGGTTTAAATGTAGATAATATACGTAGCAAATTTACTTAGTCTTTGAAGCCTAATTATAATGTATCTATTAGTACACTATTTTAAAGAAAGAACGCGCTTTGACTGGCTTTGTGAATTCCCACGCTTTAGTCTCAAAAATACAATCCTAGCTAGATTCTAATTGCGATGTTGAGGATGATCAATTTTGACTAACTGCATCCACTCCTTACTCGATTTAAAGTAGCCAAAGGCTTCTCCCTCGCATGATTTTCGACGGGAAATAGTCTTTGGAGTTTCAAAAGGTCCAAATGCACAAGCCTTGATGGCATTTCTTCTGATATATCGTCCTCGAGTGTTAATAAACTTATGAACTAGCAAAGGAATCGTTCTTGGAAGTGACTTAGACCTGAAACCACATCTCTTCAGTTATTTCAGCATGGACAGTAAAATCAATAAGAGATTTATATAAATTATTTATACATCCAAAAGGATCTAGTGGAGTAGTTATATTGAAAGTGGTGAATTTTACATATTTGAAATTCTAGAAATAATCCTTTTTTAATTCTTACTTAATTTGTTGAAAACTGTTTGAGTTCCATATCATTATTCTTTAATAATGCATAAATATTTTAAGAAAATAGAATATCTATTTGGGTCAATGATTAAGTAGCATCCTCCCTGGGGTTCCTAGATCGGTGTGGCACACGGTGGTGTCATCGGGTATTCGAATTGCGAACCAAATTATGATAGAACAAGGTTTTACCTCTATGAGATTCACTATAAAAAGGAAGAATCTGGATTGAGATGTGATATTTTTATGGGCTACAAGTAAGATAGATATTTGAAAATAGATATTAATGTGTCGAGTTTGCTCGAAGGTTTTTTGTGTTGAATTATAAAACCATGTTTACGGATATTTAGAAAGCACCTGATATTTGGAACTTGGAAACAGTAGAAGATTTGTCAAAAGAATCTGGCACGTTTCCATTTGTTGGATTCAAACAAGGTGGAACTGAGTATATATTGAATTCTCATGTTAGACCACCTAAATTTGGTGATTTACTACTAGCTCCATAAAGTTAACATCAACCTTGGGGTCATGTTGCTGTAGTTGTAGGAGTGGGAGATGGATACATTGATTTAGCTGAACAGAATTATGAGGATGCTGGATGGATTGCAGAATCGTATTCCAGGAGAGTCAAGGTGGAATGCAAAGATGGCAATTACTTTGTCACCTATATTAGAGTTGGGTATAGAGTGCAATTTTACTATTATTTAGTTTTGAAGATCAATTTAACTAATCCTGGGACAAGGATGAGGTAATTATTGGTTGGAAAAGAATAATATTTAACTGAGCGTGTTATCATACGTATTATTTATTATTAATATCTAATATGGACTCATCAGCTACAACAAGACGTCTTCAACATCTCTCAAGACATTTCAAAGCTTCCAACATCGCCACTCCTCCAGTTCGAGTCACTGTCACAGGTGCCGCTGGAAATATTGGATATGCACTTGTCCATATGATTGGATAAGGTAGACTTCTTGGACCAAATTAATAAATCATTCTAACTCTTCTTGAATTACCAATGGCCAAGGATCAATTGGAAGGCACTATGATGGAACTCAGAGATTGTGCTTTCCCCATCCTGAAGGAAATCAGAGGAACAACCCAATATGATTAAGGCTTCATGGGTTGTGACATTGCTATCTTGGTTGGTGCAAAACCCAGAGGACCAGGCATGGAAAGAAAAGACTTGTTAGCTGCTAATGCTCGTATCTTCAAGGAGTAAGGAGAAGCATTAGAAAAATATGCTAGCAGAAATGTTAAGGTTCTGGTTGTAGGAAATCCAGCCAATACCAATGCCTTAATCACAGCTCAATTTGCACCCAGCATACCAAAATCCAACTTCACAGCCCTCACTCGTCTAGACTAAAATAGAGCCTCATCTATCATTGCCCAAAGGGTCAGTGCCAATGTTGAAGATGTTAGAAACATTGTCATATGGGGGTAATCATAGCACTACTCAATTTGCCGATGTTAGTCAAGCAACTGTTTAATAGAGTGGAATCTCATACACGTATTTATTCAAACTACTATCTTAGTGTTCGAGGACTTGTGGCTGATGATGCTTGGCTCTAAAAGGCATTCGTCGAACAGGTCGCCAAGAGAGGGGGAGCTATTATTGAAAAGAGAAAGGCTTCCTCTGCTGCATCTGCTGCAAGTGCTGTTTGCGATCATATCCATGATTGGCTTATTGGAACTGATAACGGGTAATTCATCTATTTATATTTGCAGCACATTTGTATCTATGGGAGTTATTACAGATGGAAAGTTATATGGAATCAAAGAATAAGTTTGTTTTTCATTCCCATGCATTTGCAAAGATGGAAACATCAAAGTTGTTGAAGGTTTGAAATGGGATCAATTCCAATAGTCTATGATTGACAAAACCTTGAAAGAATTATTAGAAGAAAAAGAAATGGCGTTTTCAGTTGTGGTCACTAAATGAATTACAAAAAACAATATTAAATATTATGGGTTATTTTTAATATCCAAATTTTTATTATATTCGAAAAAAATATAGATAATATTAATAATATTTTTATTATGAATTTTTATAGTGATGCCGATGGGATGGATGAGTAACCAGAGTCAAATAATCAGGATAAGATTGAAGAGGAATATCATAACAGCAAAGGTGCCGAAACTCAGGATGGGAATCAAACATTAATACTGGATGTATTGATATGTGATAATTCTAGATTGATAAAAGGAAAATTGAGGAGGAACTAAATATCGCTTAGGAAAAATAAAAACTGCAAGAGTAATTGCAAATTGTTAAATAATAATAAAAATCAGATAACATTTAATAAGAATAATAATCAGATAACATTTAATACAAGTCTTTTTCTAAGACCTAAATAATTATGCTAGATTAAAGGAATCTTTGTCAGTATGTCTTAGATGAAGAAAAACATCAGCCATATTTAACAGTTTTTAAAGACCTTTTTTAAAATCCATATTTTGACAAAGAAGCCTAAGTTAATTTATTACATTTGGCAATTGTTCTGAAATTGAATTTTGAAAAGCTTTCAAAAACTGAAATCAAATAGATGATCTTGGACTTCTATCATATTTATATTGATCAAATTAATTAGGTATTAAACTTTAACTGCAAAAAAGAAAAAGATTTAGCACTAAATCTCAGCTTTGATGAGAGGAAGAATTATTTAAAAAAATTAAAGAGTGACAAAGAATTAAGAAACATAAAATTCTTGCAAAATGATTATGCCTTTTATCTCATAATTCTATTCGAATCAATAGATAGTGTTGAAAACTTAAAAGCAAACATAGATTTGATGTTAGATTATAATTTAGAAGTACATTAAAAATATAAACAATTTATTTAAGATGAAGCAGAATAGAATAAAGAATTATATAAGAAGAAACTTTAGAAGTTTAGAGAAAGAGAAATTATTGATAAAACAAAATTTACTAAGGGTAAATTTATGAGGAATATATACAATATTATATTTTGGAATTTACTATAAAGAAATAAGTAACAAATAAATTCAATTTTAATGAAGTGCTTTATTAATAATAATTGTAACTGGATCAATCTACTTGATTTCAAAGAGAATGATAAAAAGAAATAATTAGATAAAAAGGAATAATTTGATAAAAAGGAATTATTTGATAAAAAGGAATTATTTGATAAAATTTAAAATGTTATTAAATTTTACACCACAACAGACAAAAATTTAGAAGATTAAAAATTAGATTTTAAAAATTACAAAAATAGGAAATTCGATTTCATAGAATTAATGATACAACTTTTAACTACTTTTAAACTGTTTGAAGAAATACCGAAGACATAATTAGATATATACGATATTATAAAATAAATATGTAAAATGAAACAAGACCGTTATTTTTAAAAGAAACAAATTAGCTTTTTAGCAAGAGACTTTAAAGTATTGATCTCATCTGAAATAAAGCATGAGGTATTAGGTGTAGTCGAAACCATTTTAAAGTAACCTGAAAACTTCTTAAAAATAAAAAGAGATTTGAAGGAAGATGAAATTAAAGTGGTTAAAGATGCAATGGAAAAATTAAAAGATAAAATATTAAAAAAATGAGAAAACATCACCAGTTAAATTATATCAATTAAGATCATTATCATCCTCAATAAAATCTGCAACCTCCTCATTATTTTCTTATTCATCAAGTATTTATTCGTCCTTGTGTTCTTACTCTTTTTATATATTTTGCTATTCTCCATGTCCCATTTATTAATCATAATTGTCCTACTAAGATTGAGATTTATTCTATTATTATTGGCTTTCATCAAGTTCTTAAATTTCATTGAGAAGTTTATTAGACTATTTTACATGAACATTGTCTTAAGACCCTGAATTAGCAGTTTTTTTTTATCCACTTACTAGGATGGCTCTTTTAAAGGATACATCTCCAGTCTTACCAACCTTATTTGGAGTTGTGTTATTAGATTTTTGACTTGAGGATCTATTTTCTTATGAGTGTGTTGAAGTGTTTTCTTGCATATAATTCTTTCTTTAGGAGAGTAAACTCATTTAATATTTAGTAGGATTATTTGATAATGCAGATAAATTCTTGACATTCGATTTTTATTTTGTTTGATCGAGTATCTCTTAGAACAAAGTCTCTAAATTATTCTTTGATTTTAACAGTTCAGTGTTTTCCATTTCTAATTGTTTATTTCTTTACTTAAATCTATTCGCATAGCCTTAACTAGTTTTTAATTGAGTTGCCAAAGACCTTTATTGCTATTTGAGCAATTCGATTTCTTAATCTTTTTCAAGTATCTGATTTTTTAGATTCTGCAATTCATTTGATTTGCTTTTTGAGTTTATTTGCAATAGAGACTCCAATTTAGCTTTTAAATCTGAATTATCTTGTAGAATTCGCAATTAGAGTTGTTTTGATTTTTATACTTCTTCTTCTTTGAATATAATTTATTCCTAATACTTTTACGAAGTCTAAATAGCTTTTTTGAGCTATATATAGTGCATAAACTTATACTTCGATGTCTAATTATTTAGAATGTTCAAGTGATTTGATGTATTGTCTATTGCTTTCTTGTAATTTGGATTCCAATTCTCTAATTTTGAACTCAAGATCAGAGTTTTTCTTAGCCTATTCCTAGAGAGTCTTGTTTGCTTATGATAGTTATGTAGTAAGAGAAGCGTTTTCCCTTTGATATAAATACAATGAGTAAATACTTTTCAAATTATTTAGTAGTTTATTCAAATTGTTTTTTGGCTTCATTCAAAATATCATCCTTTTCAAGCAATCTGTTTTTAAATAGTTCCTGCTCATGAATAGACTTAATTAATAGTTAGATATAATAAATACTTTTTCTTTGGTCTTTTCAAGGATTTGCATAATTTTAGTCATTTCTTCTTTGTATTACTTTTAGGAGTCCTTCAATTCATTCTGAAGATCCATGAGTTGCTTTTAATTGGTGGCATTTTGATCTTCAGTGAGTTTGAGTTTATTGGATAATTCAACATTAGTAGTGTTGAATTGTTAGACTTAGGAATGCAGTGTTTAATTATCATTCAGCAAATTGTCTTTGAGTAGTTTCAAATTATTGAGTTCAATTGTAAGAGTATTAAGATTACTATTCTATTGACTCAATAGAGTTAATTGCTATGATTGACTTTCTAATTGTTCATTCAATGATTTGATTGATTAATCTCTTTGATCTAGATCTTTCTGCAATTGAGGGATTATTTATTCATGATGGAGGATCTTGGTTTCTCTTTCTTTGAGTTGAGCATCTTTTTCGCTGAGTAGATGTTCATAATGTTAAGTGATTTATTGTAACTGCGATTCAGAATTACTGTTTTCTCCAGACTTAGCAATGAGTTGTTAATTGAGATCCTTAGCCTCAGTCAGTTGAGCTTCAACTTCATTCAATTTACGTTGAAGTGATTGGATTTGATTCTAGAATATGATTTAGATGTACATTGAAATCTCTTTCCTTTTATCGCCATTCCACTACGTCACTTTGATTCTTTTCTATGAGTTTAAGGTTTTGTGATTCAAGCATTCTCACTTTCTCTCCAAGTTCAACCACCTAAGCAATTATGATTTGATGTCTACTTCTGAATTGTTTTAGATGGATCGTTGCAATTCTTCCACTTTATCAGTGAGCGATACTATTTGTCTATGTCTATTTTGGATGTCCTCTTCTAGACTTTTGATTTTGGTTTGTAATTCTTATTCATTAGACATATTGATTATTATTAATTATGTCTGAACAATCAGAAGAAGAATCGTAAGAGTTACAATAGAAGGAGGAAAAACAACAACAGAGTGAAATCTTACAATAAGAGCATAAGTCCGAGGAATAATTATAGCAAATCCCATATGTGCATATGCTAAATAACAAATACAATGTGAGGGAGGCTGTACATGCAGGATCTTGGTATTCAAGCAAGAGCAATGAATTAAAAATACAGATTAATTGTTGGTTGGAGTAAGCGAAAGCAGAAGTGACTACAGTAGCATAATTGAAAGCATTGGTTGTTCCGTATTGAATTTCACATTAAATTAAGCCATGCAGGTTATGCTTATTCGGGTCCAACTGCTGCATTTAGTTACAAGTACTTGAAGAAGTACCCTCCTTCTGAAAAACTGAAAGTGTTCATCCTGGGTCCCTGTCATTATGTCTATATAACTCAATGCTGTTTAACTAGATAGGAAATCTATGAAACTCCTCTCGGGAATATCAAAGTGGATCTGGAAAGTAAGCAATTTATTATCACAATTAGCTGTAAAGCAGTTGCACGAATAGGGATTATTCGAATAGTCAGACAAGGATGCAGAGGAGGAAGAACACTCAATTGAAATGCAACTGCCTTTCTTAGCTCACATTTTGGGTACTGATAACTTTACAATCATTCCAATTATGGTTGGATCCATTGATGCTAAATCTGAAGAGTATTATGGAAGATTGCTAAGTGAATATTTTGATATGGACGATACTCTATTTATTATATCAACAGACTTCTGTCATTGGGGAACTAAGTTCGCTTACACTTATTACAATAGTGCAGATGGAGAGATATTTGAATCCATTGAAAAATTGGATTAGAAGGCTATGGAACACATAGAGTTACATGATTTGGATAAATTCAATGATTATTTGAGAGAATATGAGAACAATGTTTGTGGGAAACACTGCATTGCCATATTATTACATGTATTTGTTAATAATCTATTTTGAAAGTGCATAGCGATGAGTTAGAACACACATATGATGGAGACTAAGTTCATTAGATATGCACAATCTTGTTTGGTGAGAGACAAGAAGGATTCATCAGTGAGTTATGCAGCAGCCATCACATTCTTAGAAGATTGAGTGGAAATTAATTTGATTAAATAAAAAGCATATATATACTCATTCTATAATAATGGCTGAGTCATGATTTTGTCCAATCTTTGATTTATTTGATTATAGTTTTTGTTGGTCTTCCATTCTTGCTTATTATTGTATCTTCATTTAATTTATGTAATAATTATTGGCATAGAAGTTTGCATAACTATTGCTCCTTAGATGCTAATTGGATGACAACATCATATTATTAATTACATGTTATAAGGTGTTTTAATAAGGTGAAGGGTTGACAGTCTCCTTGGTTTTGACGATCTACAACTTATAGTAGATATTATTGGTATCATTGGACAACATCTCTAGGTTTATCATACGATTGTTATTCTTAATACCATAGTTAGGCAGATTATCTAGATTCAACAATTTTTGAATGTTTTCATTGGCTATTTGACCATTGTTGTCAAATGTGATTTCATTCACTTGTAGATCACACTTTTTGATTGTGTTTAAGATTGCATATTGATACGCATCAATCTAAATAGTGAAGAGTTTCTTCTTACATATGGGACACCTCCACTTTCTGGGTTGCATAGAGTACATGGCTGTGATGTAGTTTTCCAATCCAAAACATTAGATATGTTAACATAAAGACCCTCTTATTGGTGTATTCATCAAATTAAAGGTGATTGCACATGTCAATTAAACAGTGAGGCTATCTACTTTAATATCATCAGCTTAATGTTTGTTCAGGTAAAGAGAGATGAAATCCTGGCATTATTCGATATTCATCCAATTTTCACTATTATTGAAGATGTTGTCAAGTAACTACTTTGAATTGAATTACTCTATGGAATATACACCCAGGAAATACAAGTGACCCAAGGATATTCGATATTGACTTCTCTGATCGGGAGTTGGGATGCATTCTTTGATTTACAAACAATTCTATGGGAGCACTTCAGTAGTAAGAATGTGATCGTCTTTACGCTTTTTGAGACTGTGATTATTAATGAGTGGTTTGAAATCTTGGATTTTCTTTTGGTTTAGGAATAGTTCTCCAATGTCAGGCCAAGTGATTTCTTCGCAATTGATTTTACTCTCTTATCTCACACACCTGATATTGATGATGGTTTGATCGCATGTGAAGTTGAATGCTTTGTGATTGATTTAACCCATTTGTTGGAAGGGGGAAGGTGGAACTAAGGAACTCTATATTTTGTTGAAATGATCCATATATTTGAGAACACAAGGGGGACACACAAATTCTTGGTCTTTGTAACATTTGTCAAAGGATTCTTTGGATTTGGCAATACAGTTGAAATGTAAGTAATTTAGGCATAAAAGGCATTGTATTAAATTTTCTGTTTCATTTGCTGGTTTACCTTGACATACGCAATTCTCGCATCTGGCTTCCTTTTCAGATGGTCCGGTATTTATTCTTCTGTACTTTAATTTGACAGAATTGGGAATGCAAATTTCATCTTCTATAGTTTGAGATGGTTAAGTGGTTTATTGCGTATAGACTGGTTATTATTGTTAGGAACAGGGTACATTGGTTTATTGTGATGGTTATAGTTATTGAGGATCATCTTGTTATTGTTATTGTTATTATTATTGCTATATTTGATCATCTTGATTATTCATGTTATTTTGTTCTTCGTCATCTTCTATTTACATGGGTTCTGGGTCGGGTTAGGGTTTCCTTTCTAAGGCGAGGATCTTTTGAATAACAGGGGTCTGAGTCTAAAAGAAGGCGTGAATCTGATCATTGATTTCATCTACAATTTAGAGGTATTTGACACAGTCACATCGCAACAAGCTGAGAGAATACAGTTCTTGAAATGAGTTGATGGAAGGTGGTTGTTTGTAATACTGGGAAATCTATTGAGTCTATAATTCTGATAGATGATGTTTAGATGAAGTCTTGTAAATGAGATCCAGGATGTGTGTGTGAGTGTTGAGTTGGAGTTGTTTGAGCAGAGTGCAATTTTTCATTTTAATAAATGTCCATTCTGGAATGATGCGGGCTATGTTTTGGTCGATTAAAAAGAAGAATGAATTAATTGGCAAAGTGGGACATCTATACTCCCCACCAAAAGATTAGTTAAATCCTACAACCCCCACTAAGTGGAATTAAATTTAGAATCTTTTTTGCATCTGCAATTTTATTATTTTAAAATACTTGAGAGAGCGCCTTGTCTCATGTTGGATGACATTTATCCGTTGTTTGGTTGGAACGAACCAGTTCCCACAGAATTCAAAGAGATATTTTCAAAATGTGTCAAGAAAGAAACTGAATTGGGTCATGATTCCAATTCCAGGAAGTGCAGCAGCACATTAGAAGAATCCTTAAGTATTCTGCATAACATTCTTAGTTGTTGACGAAGATTATGAAATAATAGGCAAGAGTCAAAACGATAATTCCATATGTCCAATCTGCTACCAGAATGTGTAACTGGGCAACACATAATTGTACTCAAATCATCTCTCCCTCTACTTCGATGTCCATACCCAATGCGCCCTAATGTGCAAACAAAAACCAGCCTCCCTGGCTTTATTGCATGAACACATCCAATCGGCCAAATTTATCAAGCGCGTCCCCATCGACTACGATCTCCTCGACCTCAACATCAAAGCCTTCGTAGAGTTCCGAGTCTTTCACACCATTGCCCAAAAACCATTCTTGCATCTGACTCATTCCACAACACTTAAATAAAAAAAAAACCCCTTCCATCCTAATCGATTATGCAAACCTCAGAGAATACTTTC